ACCTGTAGCGGCATTTGCAATATTTAAAAAAAAAAAAAAGTTACTCCCTTTTACAAGTTCTCCTGGTCTGAGGTGCAGTGGGGAAGACACAGCTGCCGCTCCTGGTGTCCTCCCTCTGGGAGCGTGGGCTTCTCTGGGCACTGTGCACCGGTGCAGGTGACCGAGGCAGAGGAAGGGAACAGAGACAAGAAAGAAGTGCTGACTAGGAAGGACTAGAGAAAGGCATCTTGCAGGGATTAGCATGTAAGTTCACAAGGCTGGGGGTGGGGGGCAGGTTGCTAACCACAGGGCTGCCAGGAAAGACCGCCAGGGGAGCCTGCGTGGGTGGGCAGAAGAGACAAGACCAGTGAGCCCCCTCCAGTCCGCTTTCCTCCCAAGTCCTCGGTGCCTCTACCTTAGCTTCCAGGTCTTTCCTGGACATTGCCAACCTAATTCACAACTAGCTTGTCTGTTTCCTGCATTTGGCCAGTTTGCTCCCCTAGAACATAAGCCCCATACAGGTCCATTGCTTGCCGCCCAGAGCCGGCACAGGGGTTGGCACTCAATAGGCGTGCACCCTGGGCTCACGGTGTTTGCCTAGTGAACGCGGCAGCAGTCCACTCAAAGGAGCCGTGGGGATTCAGAGGCAGGCAGGAGATGCTACCTAAGTGGAAGACAGGGTCCTGGGCCAGGCTGGAGCAGGGGAGATAAAGGCAAGGACGGAACCAAGACCCTTAGAGGACAGCAGGGCCATAACTGAGCCAGGAGTGTAAAAGGAGGAGTGAGTGAGGAAGAGGAAGGGGCTGTGGTCTGCTTTTATAGTATGAATGGAATGGCCTTTTGGTTGCAAGGGGACATGGAAGAGAAGTGGCTGGAAGACAGCTCCAGCTTCTGGCGTAGGGTCCGCGGCCCCAGCTCCCGCCCTCCTCGTATTCTCTTTTGAACCTACAGAGGGCGGGTGTGAACTGAACAGTGAGTCCCATAATGGGTGCACTCTCAATGCAGATGCTCTCCGTTAGACCACACTAACGTCTGCCTGTGAATAAACTGGCCTTTTCCAGGAAATTGTCTAGAGTGCCGTCTCTCCTTTCCCAGAAGTGGTCATCTGGGCTGTGATTTGTCATGTGGCCCTGTTCTACAGTGATGACACTGTGACCGTCTCTTGGGGTCACAGGAAACTTTGGAAATTCCTCTCCCCAGTTAACATCCTGCTGGCTTAACCAACGGCTCCTCCCTGGGAGACGGGAGGATGGTAATTCCTGGACAGATCATCTGTCTTTATAAGGAGAAAAGTTGGGCAGTGTGGTTTCCTGTGTGTACCTCCTGGAGTCCAGAACTCCAGCAGTGCTGGCCTGGACTGCAGCGGTAGCCACCTAGAGCCCAGATGCCAGGCGTGTTCCCAGGTTCGCGTGAGGCCTTCTTCCCAAGTGCCTTTGCCAAGCCAGGAGGCGGAGTGACGACTTCGTGACACCTTCCGCAGCGTGTGCTCGAGGCGGCTCTCCGTGTGGCTGCTTCGGTGCTGGGGTTGTTTATGTGTTTCAGTAAATGAGGTACTGCTGATCGAAGATGGCTGGGCAGGACCCAGGATAAACAACAAGACAAGCGAGTGCCATTGTGTCCTGTGTCCAGGAGCTCCTCTGTCCAGGAGCACCAGAGTTTAGAAGGGGAGACTGACTTGTGTGATAATCCTGTGGTGGTGAAGAAAGAAACCAGACTTGAGAGCTCCCCTGTCAGGTGGGTGCACGGCTTTCCTGGAGGACCTGGGTGCGGCTGGCCCCGACGCTTGGATGGACTCCGACAGACGTCACAGACGCCGATCTTTGTGGGAGTGCTTTGCAGGATTTCAGAAGGGAGAAAGGGAGGGTGGCCTGGAAAACAGTGCTGTTAGAAAATTTTAGCGATCAAAGAGATGTTCAGATTTTCTGCATTTTCTTCATCAGATGTGAAGACAGAGTGCCGTGCCGGGCTCTGAAGGGAGAGTTCTCTTACACACAACGCTGGCCTCCTCCACACACACTTCTTTTTACAACTGCGCTTAGAGACATTTTCTGGGGGGTGGGGGTGCAGATATTTTCTAGTACTTGCTGGGGTAGGCAGTGTTCAGTAGAAGAATGTGATGGGGGCCAGTGCTGCAGTGTAGCCAGTAAAGCTGCCACCTGTGACGCTGGCATCCCACATGGGCATTGGTTCGAGTCCCAGCTGTTCCACTTCCCATCCAGCTCCCTGCTAACAACGTGCCTGGGAAAGCAGTGGAAGATGGCCTAAGTGCTTAGGCCCCTGCACCCACCTAAGATACCTGGGTGAAGTTCCTGGCTCCTGGCTTCAGCCTGGTCTACCCCCAAATTGTGGGCAGCTGGGGAGTGAACCAGAGGATGGAAGATCTCTGTCTCTCTGTAACTCTGACTTACAAATAAATAAATCATTAAAAGAAAAAAAAAAAGACTATGATGAGATAATAAGACCCCAAAGTTAGTCTTCAATTTCTCCCATCCTCTGCCTCCTGGAGGAAGCTGGGGCACCCAGTAGTTCCCACGCCCCGTTTCTGTGATAGCTCACAGAACAAAGATGTGTCTGTCCTTTCAGCCCCTGTTCCACTGCCTTCTGATTAACTGACTTCAGACTCTCCAGGTGTTAACATCTTTTTAAGCCGGCGCCGCGGCTCACTAGGCTAATCCTCCGCCTAGCGGCGCCGGCACACCAGGTTCTAGTCCCGGTTGGGGCGCCGGATTCTGTCCCAGTTGCCCCTCTTCCAGGCCAGCCCTCTGCTGTGGCCAGGGAGTGCAGTGGAGGATGGCCCAGGTGCTTGGGCCCTGCACCCCATGGGAGACCAGGAAAAGCACCTGGCTCCTGGCTCCTGCCATCGGATCAGCGCGGTGCGCTGGCCGCAGCGCGCCGGCCGCGGCGGCCATCGGAGGGTGAACCAACGGCAAAAGGAAGACCTTTCTCTCTGTCTCTCTCTCACTGTCCACTCTGCCTGTCAAAAAAGAAAAAAAAAAAACATCTTTTTAAAAAAATCATTTTTTAAATTTTTATTTGAAATGTAGAGTGACAAAGTTTTTCATCTACCGGCTCACTCCACAAATGCCCACAACAGCCAGGGCTGAATCCAGGAGGCCCAGCTCCACCCAGGTTTCTCACATGAGTACTGGGGGACCGAGCTCTAGGACCATCATCTGCTGCCTCTCCAGGTGTGTTAGCAGGAAGCTGGATTGGAGACTGAGCAGCTAGGACTCGAACTGGTGCTCTGATATGGTTAAGCAGTGGTTTAACCCACTGGGCCACATTGCATGCGCCTGTTAAAAATCTAAGCAGTGAAGTATACGAGGAGGCTTCAAAAAGTTGATGGAAGGGACTAGTTAAGCTGCCACATGCAATGCCGGTATCCCATATCGAAGCACCGTTCCCATTCCCAGCTGCTCTGACTCCAGTCCAGGTCCTCGCTAATGTGCCTGGAAAGGCAGCAGATGATGGCCCAAGTGCTTGGACCCAACCTTGCCACTCACGTCAAAGACTTGGATGGAGTTCTGGGCCCCTAGCTTTGGCCTGGCCCCTGGTACTCATGTGGGAGACTTGGAGTTTGGGACTCTGTGTAGCCTGACTCAGTCCCGGCCATTGTGGGCATTTGGGGAGAGAACCAACAGGTAGGTCTGCCAATACTTTCTTTTAAAAGTTAACAGGAAATTCACATCAATGGCCAGGACTGGGCCAGGCCAAATCCAGGTTTCAGGAGCTTCTTTCAAGTCTCCCACGTGGGTGGCAGGGGCCCAGACTTGGGCCATCTTCTGCTGCTTTCCCAGGCAAATTAGTGGGGGGCTGCACTGGAAGTGGAACAGCTGGGACACTCGAACTGACTCCTCCGAAAACTTTTTAAAGCCCCCTTGTATGATGTGAAAAGGACTCCCCTGCGCAATGCACTCCCCACGAGAGATTCCTGGCGAGTCCAGTGCGTGTCCTTTCTGACCTGGCCCAGGTGTTGTCATTCTTGGTCTTGAGGCCTGGCGGTTGGGGCACAGCAGGGACAAGGAGGGCCACTGGCTGTGATGGGCTGCTCCGTCCCTGTTCCTTCTGAAGGAAATCAGACATCGTCACAGAGAAAGCCATGTGCTCTTCCCAGCAGCACTCGCAGCCGCTTCCATGTGCCCTGGTCCCCACAGCACAGACCCAGCAACCGTGGGGGCAGGGGGTAGCTAAAAGAGGAAGCTCTGAATTCCAAGACAAGAAATCTAGATTTCAAAACGACAACAAAGAAATTAAGATTTCAAAAAAAAAATAATTAAGATTTCAGGCAAGGACTTGCAAGTAATGACAATCCTTCATTCTGTTAACACAGTGTTTGAACTTATCAGTAGCTTTTAATTACACTGTACAGAATGACTTCTTAGACCAAATATTTTAAATTCTATTCTTGGGTCCTTCGTTTCATCTAATGGCTGTTTAATCTGTGGTTGGTGATGGGAGCGTTAGCCAGCTTCCCCCGTACCTGCAGCTCTACAGCTTCGCTCTCTTCCAGAGTCTTTCAGACACTTAGGCTAATCCTGTTCAGTAAACCCACTCCAGACTACTCTTCCCTAAGTCAGGCGTACGCTTTGCCGCCGAGAATATACAAGTGGTGAACAACTGGAGGACAGGCCCAGGCTTACCTCATTTCTTTATCACCCTCCCTAGCACAATGTCTTTCCTTGCAGGTGTTCAGTGGATGTTTGTTGAATCAAGCTCACATCCTGCCTCTTACATACTGATTGCATGAGTCGAGTTTAAGTTTCAAAAAGGAAACTCCCATCTTTTGCCTTATGTCATCTTTCTTACTGTCATGTTCCCATGCCCTCTCACCTAGTGAGGATAAGCTTTGCTCAGCACCAGTTTCTGCAGTTCCCAGGACTTTGCTCCTAAAATGTCCCATAGCCGTGTATGGCAAGCCATGTCGCTAATTCTTAAAATCTTATTAGCTATTTGTCAACAAGTAAGAAACAGGTAAAGTTCATTTGAATAATTTATTTAATATGTCCAAAATGTTTTGACAATTTAAATAATAGTTTATAATCTTTTATTGCCTGAAATCCAATATATATTTTACATGTAAGCGCCAGCCACAGAGAGTGAAAGGTTATCTTTTCAATTGTATGGTTAACAGAGTGTTTGAATTTTGTGTTTTCACCACATAAATAAACTCAAATGGAACAAGAGGGCCACAAAAGTATCCACCATACTGACTCCATCATTGGCAAAAGAGGTCAGTGTGGATACAACAGTTATTTACTAAGTGATACGTAATTTAGCTTACTCTTTTTAAACTATTCCTGTCTGTTAGTCTTAGATGTTTCATTATTAGGTAAAGCCTGCAACTCAGAAACCACCGCATCTTTGTGAAATACTGGGAAGTCTGCCGGTCTCTGGGTCCTTACTGCTTCCCCAACCTTCCTCTCCATCTTTCTGCTTTCCTGGCTCCCAAGAGCCTAAATGATGAGGATTTTTTCCTTTTTTTTTTTTTTTAAACATGATTTATTTGTTTGAAAGAGTTATAAAGGAGAGGCAGAGAGAGAGAGAGATCTTGCATCTACTGGTTCACTCCCCAGGATTGCCACATAGGCCGGGGCTGGGCCAGGCCAAAGCTAGGAGCTTCATCTGGGTCTCCTATGTGGGTGCAGGAGCCCAAGGACTCGGGCCATCCTCTACTGCTTTCCCAGGCACATCAGCAGGGAGCTAGATCAGAAATGGAACAGCTGGGACTTGAACTGGCACCCGTAAGGGATGCTGGCGCTGCAGGTGGCAGCTTTACCCACTTTGCCACAGCGCTGGCCCCATGATGGGGACTTTCACTTCTCCCTTTCTTATAGTTTGAATGCCACATTTTCTTTTTCTTCTTCTTTTTTTAAGGATTTTATTGATTTATTTTAGAAGCAAAGTTACAGACAGCGAGTCAGAGAGGTCTTCCGTCTCCGGGTTCACTCCCCAAATGGTCTCATTGGCTGGAGCTGGGCCAATCCAAGGCCAGGAGCCAGGAGCTTCGTCCACCTCCAACGTGGGTGCAGGGGCCCAAGGACTGGAGCTATCTTCCACTGCTGTCCCAGGCCATAAGCTGGATGGGAGGAAGCACAGCAGCTGGGACTAGAACCGGTGCCCATACGGGATGCCAGCACGCAGGTGGAAGCCTAGCCCACTGCACCATAGTGCCGGCCCCTACATTTTCTTCTACACTGACCCAACACTGTGTTTCCCAGAAACTTGCAACAGGTTTCTGTGTTTGCCTTAACGCCATGTGCAAGCATTCTTACTTGCAAAAATGTGATTCCATCTATTAATAAGGCTGACATTGCATCAGCTGAGCCATTTCAGGGCCTAGGAGCAGGAAGTGATTTAGCTAAAAATATAAAACCAGGCTTTTAAGTTTACTCTCTTGGTAAAACCAATAAGAAACAATGTCATTGATACAGTTAAGCATTGTTGCCAACAAGGACAAGTTCCTGGGTAAAGCACTATCTGTTAGGTAGATGGCAGAAGAGTTGATTGCCAGGCTTTGGGCTCAAATAGGGACGCATGGAGCATGTTATTTAAACAAAAAAATCTGGACAGGAATTCAAGTGTGATAAGCATGGTGGTCAGAAAACTCTGGTGTGTACACTGCAAACTAGTCTGCCAAGTCTGCACGGCCGGGGGAGAGGTTGCACCATCCAGAGCTCAGACTGGAGCTCCCAGGTCATTGTTTTTTCTTGAACCACATTCTTTTCTCCTGTTTTGTTTTGTTTTTTAATGTTGAATATTCTCACAAGCAAAATAATGATAGGAAGCTAGAATTGTACTCCTGATAGCCAAAGCAACTTACTGTATGGTAGCTTCTTTATTTAGACTACGTGGTATTGAACGCTGAATCCTCGCCATCTGGTTCAGTGCCTGCACTGAATGGATCCTGGTTGAATGAGCGAATTGGCTGCTGAAGGTGAACTGTTGGTACACTCAGTTCCAAGTGACGGGTGAAATATAGGAGAAAGATGTCATGTACAGGGGCCGGGGAGCTCAAAGCTAGAAGTAGGAGGGAATCGTCAGGGAGCAGCAGGTTCTACGGTTTGGAGTAAAATGTCCTTGAGAAAGGCACGAGCAGGGGAGGTGGAGGAGTGAGAAGGACGGAAACCAAGCAGCCCTTTGCGTTTCCGCCCTGCCCCTGGCCCACAGCGGCACGCCCCGGCTCGCCAGGGTAATGTCTGTCTGCCAGTACGAGTAATCTAGGAAATACCATTTTCAAAGTTTTCTGGATCTGAATACCCAGGAGTTCATGACACGAATCTTTTCCTGGCTGACTGGCTGTTTTCTCCACATAACAGCTATTTCCAGTGCCACTTCATATCATAAAACTTTGACATCAGCTTTCCTACGTTAATTTTTAATGGGAAATAACAGCAAAATTTTGATATTGTCCAAATAGGCCAATAAAAAGAGAAATAAAAGCAACAATAATCTTCTACCCTGTTTTCCATATAAATGTTTAAAACAAGCTTTAAAATATTTAGGTATCCAAATATATCCAAAAATGGAGCTGTTGGTCATTTTTTTAAAAAGGATCAACTCACTCTGTCTTAATTGAATTTTCCTTTAAATATTCATCTGCCGTTGACTCTAAAAGCTGCCAGATTACAAATATGCTCCCCCCATTGGAAATTGATGAATTCCCCTCTGTAGTATCAGAGAGCTTCAACTTAGGACTTTCTTCTAGCAAGGTTCCTTAGCATCAGCTTAACTGCTGGTGAGGCAATGCGGTTAGAGCCTCATTATTGCTGTTCATCTGGGAGATTGCTTCAATCTTTGGATCTCTTCAATGCTAAACAATTACTTTAACTTTGTTTTGCAAGAAGTATGATCTAATTCTTTTTTTTTTTTTTTTAATATTTATTTATCTGAAAGGCAGAGTTACAGGAGAAGCAGAGAGAGAGAGGTCTTCCATCTGCTGGTTCACCTCCCAGATGGCCGCAATGGCTGGAGCTGTGCCAATCAGGAGCCAGGAGCTTCTTCCAAGTCTCCTGTGTGGGTGCAGGGGCCCAAGGACTTGTGCCATCCTTTACCGCTTTCCCAGGCCACAGCAGAGAGCGGGGTCGGAAGTGGAGTAGCTGGGACTTGAATTGGCACCCCTACTGGATGCTGACACTGCAGGTGGTGTTTTTACCCGCTACGCCACAGCGCTGGCCTTGATCTAATTATTTTGGAGAATACTTGGGTTACCAAAATGCAGCAGTGGGGTGTGCCTTTGAGCAGCTGAGCAGACCACTTTTTGCATTCCTTATACATAAGATAGGATCCAGTTTTTAAAATCATAGCAACAGTTGATAAGAAAAACAACAAAAAGGTAATCATTTCCATATGGAAAGAAAAGGAAGAAACCAGTGAGGCTGAAAACTGTCATCTTTCCATATAAAACTAAAAGTCACTTCTAGTAGATTTGGCAGAAAGGGAAAATGTTCCTATTTGTTTCCCAGCGTACGTTTGTTAATGCATTGACTGCGATGTGTCTGATTGAAGTACACCATTTCCCTCCAGCTCAGCTGCCAGTTTCCAAGTCTGTTTCCTCCTGAGTGAAGCCCACATCTGCATATGTCAGTTCCATTAAGCCCGGGATTTCCTTGGTGAAAATTCTGTTACCGCAATTGAGTGAAAAATCTGGGCGAAAGCTCTTCCCATTTTACCGCAGAGCATGTGACTGGCTCCCACCCATCGGTAACTTTAAGGCGACAGCAGAACAAAATCGACCCTGAAGGCCCCAAAGAAAACCTGACCAATTTTCTCATACCCGGAATGTTTAAGAAAATCAAAAAAGTATACATTTCCTTATTCAGTTTTGATCGGTGTTTACCAAAATCCTGCTATTTGTTTTTAAAAAGCTGCAGAGTGGAAAATCTTACCCTGTTACAGAATATTCAAAAATAGACGTTCCCCCTGTAGCCTGTGACAACATCTCCCTCTTGTGGTCAAAGCATCCATTTCCAAGATTACATTCAAGTAGAACACTGCAAATTCTTAAAGATGTGATGTGAAAATGTATTTCCCATTAGTGAATCTTTTTTGAGTAAAGAGAAAAGAATTAGGCCCCTGGGGACAAACAGCAGCGCTCCCTCCCTGGAGAGCTGCAGGATCCCCACATCCCGTCACAGTGTTCCCCAGCTCTGCACAGGAGCACCATCTTACTTTCTTGCAAATAAAATAAATACCAAGTGGATGTCTTCATGGAACACATGACACTCCCCATTTCAAACGTTCTCTCTTCAGTGGGCATAGCGAGCAGGATGGAGTCAGCATTCTACTCTGCCTTTTTTCATCCCCAAAAGCCTTCGGGTCCTTTCCCCTTGTCCCCGATCAGAGGTTACAGTAACTGGCAACAATCTGCTCTAGCAATGTGAAACTGTCCAAAAAGTCCTCCTCTTCAACTCCAAATTTTGTGTATTGGTGAATATAGGCTCTGGTTAAAAAAAGAAAAAGAAAATGCGAAATCAGCAATTTCAGTAACTTATAAATAGGCCTTTTCTACTTCATGACCATTTGAAGATCACAAAACCTCTTAAAAGTCTTCCACTTGCTTCTTGGTTTACTCCAAAGATGAATGAACTTGCAGAGGGCATGGCAAACGCTGTCCCGTGCGTGTCCACCAGAGCGATGGGGTAAAGACGCACGCCCACTCATGCTATCTGCCCAGCACACCTTTTTTTTTTTTTTTTTTTTTTTTTTAGATTTATTTATTTATTTGAAAGCCAGAGTTAGAGAGAGAAGAAGCAGAGAGAGAGAGAGAGGTCTTCCATCCACTGGTTCACTCCTCAAGTGGCCACAACGGCTGGAGCTGTACCGATCAGGATCCAGAAGCTTCTTCGGGGTCTCCCATGCAGGTGCAGGGGCCCAAGGACTTGGGCCATCCTCCACTGCTTTCCCAGGCCATAGCAGAGAGCTGGATCGGAAGTGGAGTAGTCGGGACTTGAACCAGCACCCCTATGGGATGCCGGCACTGCAGGCAGCGGCTTTACCCCTACGCCATAGTGGCAGCCCCAGCCCAGCACACTTTCAACTGCACAGGAGGGGACTGTATCCAATGCAGACACTACAAGCGCCCAGGAAGTGGATCCATGGCTAGAGACTGGAAACTCCCTCTGCTCCCCAGAATGCAGTGTGTTTCAGGCCGTCTTTAATCTGCACCAGGCCAGCGTGATCCCTCGGTCCCTCCCATCCACTGCAGTGTTCTGAGGCCAGAGAAATGGCATTCGGAGAAAGTACAGAGGGGCAGTGTGTGGCGCAGGGGGCCAGGCTGCCTCTTGGGATGCCCACATCCCATATGAGAGTGCCTGGTTTGAGTTGTGGCTCTGCCACTTCCTATCCAGCTTCCTGCTAATGCACACCCTGAGAGGCAGCAGATGATGGCCCAAGTGCTTGGGCCCCCGCCACCCATGTGGGAGACCCAGATGGAGTTCTGGGTTCCTGGCTTCAGCCAGACTCAGACCTGGCTGTTGGGGGCCGGAGGAGTGAACCAGTGACTGGGAGATCTCTCTCCTGTTGTGCCTTTCGAGTAGATGAATATAAACAAGAAGAAAGACTTTGAGGGCAGACTTGAATTAAAGTGACACATTCATGGCTACTGCCACCTACGGAGAGCAGGAGGAGAATGACACCAGGAAGGATTGCAGGCGCCGGCACGGAGGCCACAGCAGATGGCCGGCACGGGGCAACCACGGCGAAGCCAAGCGGGAGCCTCATTCAGTTCCTGGAGGACTTTGGCCTCGATATCAAGTAGTGGCTGTGAAACCTACTGAAATATTCCTAGTGACAGGTGGACCGGAGGCTTTGGAGGATGGAGTGGATCTGCACTTACCAAGGAAGATCAAGGCCTCTTCACTCGCCCGAGGAGCTCATTTTTGAAAACTATTTTATTGTTCCTGCCTTTAATGACATTTCTACTTTAACTTCATTTTCCTAGAGAACCACTCATTTGGTCAACATCAATACCACACTAACAACGCTGAACAAATTACTGGACGTCAGCCGGCCAGGTGTGCACGAGGTATGTCGGCTGACTGCCTGCCTCACCGCCCAGCGCACTCTGTCTCGGCGAGGACCTGGCGTGTATAGGAGGATATGAAGCCTGAGCAGCTGTGTGGCCGCCTTCCCAGCCGGAGTGGCTCGCCCCACGGTGCCAGCGCTGTATTAGCTGCCTAGCATTCGCATGGTTTCCAGACGGATTTTCTACTTACTTCGAAGCAAACATGTTCCATGCTCTGCCGACGATCGTATCGAGTGGCTTCACTAAGAACTGGCTGTTGCTGACCAACGCTGCAGACTTCTCGTATCTTCTGAAGGCTCGCTGGGTTCTCCACACGCTGAAGGCGTCCACGGGCTTTAACCAGGACGTGTAGAGAGCTGGCTCTTTAAAGCCCTCTAGGTAGAAAAAACATAAGCCATTTTTTATAGTGTGAGTATTCCCTGTAGAAACAAACTAGTAAACATACTTCCTCATCCATTTCATCAGAATCTTTAATTTTTACATTCAAACTAGCTTTTGGAGAAACTGTTCATATTTATTACATTTAAAAAGTAGGAGTAATTCACACATTCAGAAAAGAATTAAGAAGAAAATTTAAAAGTTACCAGAACAGCTGAAATGCTCAACCAAGATGACTATGAACAGTCTGTTGATCCTCAGCCCTACTTTGTGTGTTTAAACTTTTTTTAAAGATTTATTTATTTGGGGGCTGGTGCTGTGGCGTAGTGGGAAAAGCTGCCGCCTTCAGTGCCTGCATCCCATATGGGCGCCGGTTCAAGTCCTGGCTGCTCTACTTCCAATCCAGCTCCTGGGAAAGCAGTAGAAGACGGCCCAAGTCCTTGGGCCCCTGCACCTGCGTGGAGTCCCAGAAGAGACTCCTGGCTCCTGGCTTCGCATCGGCGCAGCTCTGAGTGTTGCGGCCATTTGAGGAATGAACCAGCAGGTCCAAGACTTCTCTCTTTGCCTCTGCCTTTCTATAACTCTGCCTTTCAAATAAATAAATAAATCTTTAAAAAAGAAAAGGATTTATTTATCTGAAAGGCAGAGCAACAGACAGATGAGAGACATCTTCCATCCACTGGTCCATTCGCCAGATGGCCACAACAGCCCAGGCTGGGCCAGGGTGAAGCCAGAAGCCAGGAGCTGCATCCTGGTCTCCGCATGGGTGGCAGGGACCCAAGCACTCGGGCTGTTATCCCCTGCTTCCAAGGAACATCAGCAAGGAGATGTATCAGAAGCAGGGCAGCCAAGGCGTGAACCTGGGATACAGTTTTCTCAAGCAGTGGCTTAACCCACTGAGCCAGGATGCCCACTCCAAAATTCTCTTATTTTAGCTGGGTGTTTGGCCTAGTGGTTAAGACATCAGCTAAGACACCTGCATCCCTATCAAAGAGCCTGGGTTCAATTCCCAGCTCCAGCTCAGCTCCTGAATCCAGTTTCCTGCTAATGCAGGCACGGGAAGGCAGCAGGAGATGGCTTGAATGGTTGGGTCCCTGCCACCGTGTGGAAGACCTGGGTTGAATTCCCAGCTTCAGCCTGGCCCAGTCCTGGCCACCATGGGAGTCTGGGAATGAACCAGCACATGGGAATTCTCTGTAACTGTTGCTGCCTCTCTCTGTCTCTGCCTCTAGAATTAAATTGAAAAAATTTTAATTCCCTCATTTTAAAATTCAAAATGGCAAATATAAAGAAAACATAACATGTGAGTGACTTGTAGTGATTTGCTTTTGTTAGTTCTTTGTCTAAGGGGTATTACGGAAACTAGATTGTTGGGTGTTCTTTATATTGCAGCAAAAACTAGCAAAGTTTGTGTGGCTGACGTCATCAGGATAAAATAAACCTGAAGACCTGCTCTAGAAAACAGACTGGACTACTGCTCTTTCAGAATGCTGCCACAGAGACCAGTGGTTGACCCGCAGTTCCTGTTCGCCCCTTCTTCCTTAGCAATAGAACCCCAAACTGTCCCTGTACTCATGGCCATGCATGCAGCTAGGGGTGGCACATGATCAGCCTCGCAGCCACAGGGAGTGAAAGGCAAGGTGATGAGCAAATCCGAAGGCGGTGGCAAGCCTTCTCCTGCTCGTTTCCAAGCAGCTGGCCAGCTGCAGTTCAAGCAGGTGTCTTGGACTGTACAGAGGCGATGACAAGTTAAAGAGAGTAAAACTAGCAGATATTTGGGCCAAACTTTACCTTGTCGAACCACTTCTTCTGTGGTGTCCAGTCACGTACTAGCTGATTAAAACGGTTATGGTCATTACCTTCCTTTCCCTCAGAGTAAATTCAGGGACTTCTTAAAACCACGTTTTCTAGAACGTGCATCGTAAGTCACACGTGACCTTCTGCTCACCCAGATCGGCACTGTGTGCTTCTTTCCCACGAAGGATGACCAGGTTAGCAATGGAAGTGTTAAAATGCGGCTCCGCGCCCACAGACGCTCTGCCCAGGGGAGGCAGCCCTGACAAAGGAGGCCGTACTTGCCAATTAATACCTACCACAAAAAAAGGGAAGAAGGAGATTTTATAAATGGCTTGGAGTAAGAGGAGAAAAATGTCTTGTGTATTTTACATAAATTATTATTTGACATGGAAAATTGATTCTTCCTCTAATCATTTAATAATTCTTATTTAGCTAATCTAAAGTGAATCAAAATACTCAATTCTGAGAAAAGCTTGAAATATCCACCAGGGGGTCAGTGCTGTGGCATAGTGGGTAAAGCGGTCACCTGCAGCATCTGCATTCCATATGGGCACTAGTTCGAGTCCTGGCTGCTCTACTTCCAATCCAGCTCCTGGGAAAGCAGTAGAAGATGGCCCAAGTCCTTGGGCCCTTTCAGCCACATGGGAGACCCGGAAGAAGCTCCTGCTCCTGGCTTCAGATCAAGATCGGCCCAGCTCCCACCGTTGCAGCCATTTGGGGAATGAACCAGCAGATGGAAGACTTCTCTCTCTCTTTCTCTCTCTATCTGCCTCTGCCTCTCTGTAACTCTGCCTTTGAAATAAATAAATAAATCTTAAATATTCACCAGGCAATATCAAAGGTAGTATGTGTGCATACAATGGAATTCTACTCAGCCATAAAAAGGAACTAAGTCTTGATAAATGCAACAACGCTGATTAATCTAACAAGCATTATGCTAAGTGGAACAATCAAGGCTCAAAAGATTACACCCTGGGGTGGTGGTTGTGGGGTTCAGTGCCTAAGCTGCCACTCAGGATGCCCACATCCCAAATCAGAGTGCTTGGGATTGAGTCCAGCTGCCACATTGATCCAGCTTTCTGCTAATGTGCTTTGTGGGAGGCAGCAGACTGATCGCCAGTGGGTACAACAGAACTTTTCAGGGTGACAGAAATGCCCTATGCTGATTGTGGTGGTGCTTACACATAAGTTTGTCAAATTTCATACAACTGAAAAAGGACGGGGGCCGGCGCCATGGCTCACTTGGTTAATCCTCCGCCTGTGGCGCAAGCATCCCATATGGGCACCAGGTTCTAGTCCCGGTTGCTGCTCTTCTAGTCCAGCTCTCTGCTGTGGCCCAGGAGTGCAGTGGAGAATGGCCCAGGTGGTTGGGCGCCTGCACCCGCATGGGAGACCAGGAGGAAGCACCTGGCTCCTGGCTTCAGTTCGGCACAGCGCACCATCCGTAGCAGCCATTTGGGGGGTGAACCAACGGAAGGAAGACCTTTCTGCCTCTATCTCACTGTCTATAACTCTACCTGTCAAATTAAAAAAAAAAAAAAAGGATGAACTTCAATCTTTTTGTAAAGATTTATTTATTTATTTATTTGATTTTGTTTTTGTTTTTGTTTTTTTTTTTTTTTTTTTTTGACAGGGAGCGTTGACAGTGAGAGAGAGAGACAGAGAGAAAGGTCTTCCTTTGCCGTTGGTTCACCCTCCAATGGCCGCCGCGGCCGGCACGCTGCGGCCGGTGCACCGCGCCGATCCGATGGCAGGAGCCAGGTACTTATCCTGGTCTCCCATGGGGTGCAGGGCCCAAGCACTTGGGCCATCCTCCACTGCACTCCCTGTCCACAGCAGAGAGCTGGCCTGGAAGAGGGGCAACTGGGACAGAATCCAGTGCTCCGACCGGGACTAGAACCCAGTGTGCCGGCGCCGGAAGGCGGAGGATTAGCCTAGTGAGCCGCGGCGCCGGCCTATTTATTTATTTGAAAGGTAGAGATACAGAGAGGCAGAGGTGAAGAGAGAGAGGTCTTCTTTCATCCGCTGGTTCACTCCCCAGATGGCCACAACAGCCAGAGCTGGGCTGATGCAAAGCCAGGAGCAAGGAGTTTCCTCCAGGTCTCCCACACAGGTGCAGGAGCCCAAGCGCTTGGGCCATCTTCTACTGCTCTCACAGGCAGAGAGCTGGATTGGAAGTGGAGCAGCCGGGTCTCGAACTGGTGTCCATATGGGATGCCGGCACTGCAGGCAGCGGCTTTACCCGCTACACCACAGTGCCGACCCCTAATGTATACACTTTTATGAACACACAGACACACAAAAATATTAAGGGATGGGGGCCAACATTGTAGTGCAGTCAGCGACTGCAAAACCAGCATCCTATATGGGCACCAGTTTGAATCCTGGCTTTTCCACTTTCAATGCAGCTCCCTGCTAACGTGCCTTGGAAAGCAGCAGCAGATGACCCAAATGCTTGGGCTCCTGCACCCACATGGGAGACTCAGATGGAGCTCCTGGCTCCTGGCTTTGGCATAGACCAACCCTGGCTGTTGCAGCCATTTGGGGAGTGAGCCAGTAAATGGAACACATCTCTCTCTCTCTCTCTCCCTCTCTCTCTCTCTTGCTCTCTTTCTCTGTGTGTTTCTGTCTCTGTAATTCCACCTTTAAAATAAATAAAAACATATTTTAAAAAAAGCTTAGCAAAACACTTAAGAGTTGAAAAATTGCAAGATAAAAAGAAAACTAAGCAAATAAGAAAACAGGGAAATTACGGGATCTAAATGAATTATACAGGAAAGGAAAAGGAACCAGAGTACACGACACGGCTGAGCTGTGAACAGCACTTCCTTGGTCATGACACGGTGAAGCTGACGCTGCCTCAGCCAGTGATGGCACTGCTACATGGGAAGGGCGTGGAGACATCAGCGTGCCAGCAGGGCTCAGGGAAGCAGCACGGGAAAAAAGCTCCCCCGTCAGCTTTCATCATGGAAAGTGACGGGTACTACCTAAATAATTCAATACACAGAAGAGTTGTGAACAGCAGTTGTCTCTGGAGGACGAAGCAAGGAAAGACTGGATACAGTTTTTACAGCCAGCCTTGCAGAATTACTTGACTCTTTAATCCATGTGCATATGTATACTGTAACGCATATATTACAGAATATTGCCTAGCTATTAAAAAGAATGAGGCATGCCCAAATGAGCTGAATGGAAAGGAGGGCCACAAAACACTCTATGTTGAAAAAGAAGTTATAGGCCAGCGCCGCGGGTCACTAGGCTAATCCTCCGCCTTGCAGCACCAGCACACCGGGTTCTAGTCCCAGTCGGGGCACTGGATTCTGTCCCGGTTGCCCCTCTTCCAGGCCAGCTCTCTGCTGTGGCCCGGGAAGGCAGTGGAGGATGGCCCAAGTGCTTGGGCCCTGCACCCCATAGGAGACCAGGATAAGCACCTGGCTCCTGCCATCGGATCAGCGCAGTGCGCTGGTCGCAGCGCCGGCCGTGGTGGCCATTGGAGGGTGAAAGAAAGACCTTTCTCTCTGTCTCTCTCTCTCTCTCTCACTGTCTATTTCTCTGCGGTGGCCCTCTGCGATGTGAGAGAAAAAAAAGAAACACAACACAAAATCGTGTCGTGGAGACCAACCCTGCCAGAATGGATATCATATCAGTTTTGTTTTTTGTTTTTTGTTTTTTTTTTTTTTTGACAGGCAGAGTGGACAGTGAGAGAGAGAGACAGAGAGAGAGAAAGGTCTTCCTTTGCCGTTGGATCACCCTCCAATGGCCGCCGCTGCAGCCGGCGCACCGCGCTGATCCGATGGCAGGAGCCAGGATCCAGGTGCTTTTCCTGGTCTCCCATGGGGTGCAGGGCCCAAGCACCTGAGCCATCCTCCACTGCACTCCCTGGCCATAGCAGAGAGCTGGCCTGGAAGAGGGGCAACCGGGACAGAATCCGGCGCCCCGACCGGGACTAGAACCCGGTGTGCCGGCGCCGCAAGGTGGAGGATTAGCCTAGTGAGCCACGGCGCCGGCTATCAGTTTTGTTTTTAAAAACTGTTTATATGCAAGAACACCCTCAGACCACTCTCTTTAGTTTTTACATGAATTAATCCAAAGTAGCCCCAATAAATTGATTAGTAAAGTAGAATTTTAAAATGTTTTAAGTGAAACAATAATAAGCAAGTAAAATCATTATTTAGCTTGGATCAGAGGGCCTAGTCAAAAGCCATGGAAAAATTTCCCCAGACCTTACATTTTAACCCTGAAACTGCCAGCAGCACCCTGCTCAGCAGTCGGGAACTAATGACTTGTATGTGCCTGCCATTGCCCTTTTTATGAAAGGGATGCCTACCAGTTAGGACACGAGAGTATGGGGACAGAAGAGCGCCAACCCACACTGCTCCAGAGAACAACATTCTGCACTTGAGCTCACGGGTACAAGCTTTGGGGGTTGTGGTGGGAATGGGTGCGTTTTGCTCAGGAAGACCTGATTCATAAGGGGACAGAGGGCGGAGGATAGCGGGCAGCCTCCAACAGGAGCCCGGCTGATCCTGGCCTGCTGGTATGTGGGTCCCTCCTGGTATGCAGGTTCTTGGGTTGTCCACTCCCGCACTGGGTAGGGCTGACCTTGATAACCAAAGGCTGTTGCAGCAGTGACAGTGTGTGAGTGTCACTTCTGCCTCGCCACCTCTTGGATCACTGTTCCTCCCGTTGCTACAACACATGGAAACAGACATTGCTGGTGGTCTCGGACAGGAGGCTGGTCTTTAACCAGAGCAGTCTGATTACATAGGAACAGTTATAAAACTGGGTCCTCTATCTGGTTTGTGCCAGAAATATATAATTTGTATATATGTTCAAACTCTATAAATGTGAAAAACTATTGATACCCTAAAGTCCCACATGGGAAAATAACTAAGCAAACTGTGGCTTATTGACCTAAGAAAGCGCTGAGTCTCACACTGCCCGGATGCATGCTGAGTCCCTGGGATGTTAACAGGTACTGCTAGAAAAACAAGTACCGCAGCCAAAACACTCAGGAAGCACTACTTTAAAAGGTAAACTTTCAACTGATCTCCAGTTTCTGGCACTGTCATCTCAAATCCATATGCTATGACAAGTAAATGCAGAGAGAATTCACTGTTGCAGTACTGAAGCCTACATTATTTTACCTTGTGGTAGGAGGTATGCTGCTAAAATAGTACGCAGTGATTTAGTTACACATAGCAGTGTATTGGGACTTTCTCCCAAATCCCACTAAGCCAAAAGGGATTTTCTTTTTGTTGTTGTTTTTAAAGATTTATTTTTTATTTATTTGAAAGGCAGAGAAATAGAGGAAGAAAGAGAGAGCGCTTCCATACACTGGTTCATTCCCCAGATGGCTGCAGCAGCTAGGGCTGAGCCAGGCTGAAGCCCGGAGCGTCTTCCAGGTCTCCCACAAGGGGATAGGGGCCTAAGCACTTGGGCCATCTTCCACCTCTTTCCCAGGCACATTAGCAGGGAGGTGGATGAGCAGTAGAGCATCTGGGACTCGAACCAGAGTCCATGTGGGATGCTGGCACTGCAGGTGGAGGCTTAACCTGCTATACCACAATGCTGGCCCTAAAAGGCGATTTCTTAAAAAGGTATACACACACACACACACACACACACACATCCTCTGCTGCCCTCTCAGGCACTTTAGCAGGGAGCTGGATCAGAAGTGGAGCAGCCAGGACTCAAACTGGTGCCCATACAGGATGTTGGTTATTTCAGGTGGCGGTGGCTTAACCAGCATGCCACAATGCTGGCCCTCCCTGTACTCTTTCTTAGGAAGCTCCTGAAGTATATGGTCCATCAATATGAGGAAATAAACCAACAAAGAGGAAGATTTGCAATCTAGCAGACAGAGGATATAATGCAAAATGGAGCAGAGAGCCAGTGCTGGCTTCTTACTAAGCCTGGAACAGAATGAGGGTATCCCAGAGGAACGTTCCCAACCAGATGATGAAGGTTAATAGGTTAAGGGCCAGTACTGTGACATAACCAGTTAAGCCTCCACCTGTGATGCCGGCATCCCATATGGGCAGCAGTTGGAGACCCAGCTGCTCCACTTTTTTTTTTTTTTTTTTTTTTTTAAGATTTATTTTATGGGGCCAGTGCTGTGTGGCGCAGTGGGTTAAAGCCTGGCTTGGAGTGCTGGCATCCATATGGGTACTGGCTCGAGTCCCAGCTGTTCCACTTCTGATCCAGCTCTCTGCTATGGCCTGAGAAAGCCGTAGAATATGGCCCAAGTCTTTTGGGCCCCTGCACCCATACGGGAGACCCAGAAAAAGCTCTGGGCGCCTGGCCCAGACCCAGCCGTTGCAGCCATTTGGGGAGTGAACCAGCAGATGGAAGATCTCTCTCATCTCCTTCTCCTCCTCTCTCTCTAACTCTTTCAAATAAATTTTATTTTTTTTATTTTATTTTTTTGACAGGCAGAGTGGACAGTGAGAGAGACAGAGAGAAAGGTCTTCCTTTGCCATTGGTTCACCCTCCAGTGGCCGCCGCGGCCGGCACTGATCCGATGGCAGGAGCCAGGTGCTTATCCTGGTCTCCCATGCGGGTGTAGGGCCCAAGTACTTGAGCCATCCTCCACTGCACTCCCTGGCCACAGCAGAGAGCTGGCCTGGAAGAGGGGCAACCGGGACAGAATCCGGCGCCCTGACCGGGACTAGAACCCGGTGTGCCGGCGCCGCAAGGCGGAGGATTAGCCTAGTGAGCTGCGGCGCCAGCCTCTTTCAAATAAATTTTAAAAAAGTAATAGATTACCTGATGGATCCAAACATGTTGAGATTCATTCATTCTTATGGAAGTTTTGGAATAAATTAGTGACAGGTGCAGAGAGTATCAACCAAATAAATATAATTATTAAAAGTTATAGGAGGAATAAAATAACCTGTACATGAAATAAAATGTAATCTGTGTACATAGTACATGGCTTGGCTGGGAACAGTATTTACAAAGAGTAAGTAAATCTGATCCGAAAGCATGCGTGGTAACTATGGTGGGAGAATAGGGGGGAGATGACTGTGAGACAATGCATAATATCTTAAACTGCAAAATTAAACAAATAGCAGCACACACAGGATATTTAGAGATATGGAGCCAAATTCCAGAAGAAAGAGTTGAAAGCCGTGTCATCTGGGCATTGTAGGGCAGGGGGCTGCTGTTTCTGTTATTCATTTATAATGGACAACTATTTTAATTTTTTAGATTGAGATATAATTTATAGACAGGGCAATTGCTGTGATTTGAACAAGATTTGGCTCCTTGATTCATGCAGACATTTAAACTCCTAAGTCATAAGTTAATGGTATTGGGGCCAGTGCTGCGGGGCAGCAGGTTAAACCATAATGCCAGCATCCCATATTGAAGTACTAGTTCTACTCCAAGTTGTTCTGCTTCCATTCCAGCTTCCTACTATTGTGCCCGGGAGACAGCATTAGATGGCTCAAGTGGAAGATCAGGATGGAGTTCTAGCTCCTGGCTTTGGCCTGGCCCAGCCCTGGCTGTTGCAGCCATTTAGGGAGTAAATCAGCAGATGGAAGATCTTTGCTTCTCTCTTTCTCCCCATCATTCTGCCTTTCAAATAAATATTTAAGCAAAAGCTATCAAAAGGGTGGAGCATTGATCCAGTTATGGTATCTGAATGGGAGGCCTTTGGGAAGTGACTGGATTGGATTAGGTTGCTAGGGCAGAGCCTCTAGGAGCCAATCATAATAAGGAGAAACCAGACGGATACAACAAGCACTCTCTGTTTGTGTGTGTCTGCTTCCTGGCTCACCATGTGATCCCTCCTCTGTATTCACTCCACAACCCACCACCCTCAGCAGACACCAGACCAATGGGGCTGCCCCAGTTTGGACTGTGAACCTCCAAAACCATAACCTGTAATAAACTTCCTTCCTTCACAAATAGCTTCTCTCAAGTGTTCGTTATAGTGCCAGAAAGTCAACTAATACAGCAGTATGGGTTTAAGTATAAACTTACATGCGTTTTAACTCTTTGACTTTTAAAACTATCTTGAGGGGCCAGCACCGTGGCTCACTTGGTTAATCCTCCGCCTGCGGTGCTGGCATTCCATATGGGCTCTGGGTTCTAGTCCTGGTTGCTCCTCTTCCAGCCCAGCTCTCTGCTGTGGCCTGGGAAGGCAGTGGAGGATGGTCCAAGTGTTTGGGCCCCTGCACCTGCATGGGAGACCAGGAAGAAGCACCTGGCTCCTGGCTTCAGATTAGCGCAGCGCCGGCTGTAGCAGCCATTTGGGGAGTGAACCAATGGAAGGAAGACCTTTCTCTGTGTCTCTGTCTCTCTCTTTCACTGTCTATAACTCTACCTGTCAAATAAATTTAAAAAAATAAATAAAATAAAAAAAACTATCTTGATATATTACTTTGATTAAAAGAAAATAGACATTTGAAAAAACATACAGCACTCATCTGAAATACCTTTTAATTTTTTTTTTCTTTTAAAGAACTATTTACTAATTTGCAAGGCAGGGTTACAGAGACAGAGAGATCTTCCATTTGCTGGTTCACTCCCCAAATGACTGAAACAGCCAAGGCTGGGCCAGGCAGAAGCCAGGAGCCTGGAACTCCGTCTTGGTCACTCATGTGGGTGGCAGGGGCCCAAGCATTTGGGCCATCCTCCACTGCTTTTTCAAGTGCATTAACAGGAAGCTGGATCGGAAGTGGAGCAGCTGGAACTCCAGCTGGCTCTCACATAGGATGCCAGCATAGCAGACAGCAGCTTAACTCCCTGTGCCACAATGCCAGCCCCTGAAATACCTTTTGGTAATGAAACTATAAAGTAATTAAGAAGCCCTTGTGGTGGGTATTTGGTGCAGCAGTTAAAACATTGCTTGGAATACCCATATCCCATGTTGGAGTGCCTGGTTCAAGGCCTGGCTCCTCTGCTCCTGATCCACCTTCCTGCTAATTTGTACCCTGGGAGGCAGTAGATAATGGCCCACATACTGGATCCCTGCCACCAATGTGAGAGGCCTAGACTGAATTCTAGGATCCTAGCTTAAGCCCTGGCCAGGGTGGGTATTTGAGGAATGAGTCAGAAGATGGAAGATCTCTTTCTGTGTGATTCCAACTCTTAAATAAAATGAAAAAAAAAAACAAAAAAACAAAAAACAAAAAAAAAAACAAAGCCCTCCCCATGTCCTCTTAAGTTTCTACAGGAGCCTCCCTGGCTTGAAAAGGAGCAATTATTTCAACTGGCCTAAGCTGGTTTATATTGAGAGCTCCAGGACAGACATTTTTCCCAGTTTGTGGGCTGCATATTCTTAAAATAACCTTTACCTTCTTCCATTTTCGCATTAGAAATGAGCATCTGTCTCAAATGCTTGAGGAGGCCGGCCCAAGTAAATGCGCTGTACGCCAATGAATTTTCTGGCATCTGAGGAATGTTGCGAATGCCTAGCATCTTGAATTCAGGATGGGGCACTAAATTCTCCATCAAGTCTCCTGTAAAGAAAAACAAAAAAGATCTGAGTGAGATCTTTTCATTCCACACTACTGCTGTTGATGTACGTCACAACTGTGATTTGATGATTTTCCAAGCCAAATGTGTTTTCTTCTCTAAGGCTAGAATTGTTTAAAATAAAATTGCAGAGGCAACATCTCTAACAGACCCATCTTCGCTTCAATTCAGCATGGGTAAGAAAACACATTGTGCACAGAGGAAACAGGAAAGTAGAAACTGAGTAACTGGAAATGTGAAATAGGTCGCTAACCCCCAGAGAAACAAAGCAAGTATGAGAACTGATATGCTTCGCTTCTCATTCTGTGTTCACCATATATTCCTTGAGGAATTTTCCTAGAGCTTTTATTTATTTTATCTGCTTAAATGTAATCAAAACCTGTTAATCTTTAAAAAAAAAAAATGGGGCCAGTGCTGTGGCGCAGCAGGCTAATGCCCTGACGTCGGCATCCCATATGGGTGCTTGTTCGAGACCCCGCTGCTCCACTTCCGATCCAGCTCTCTGCTATGGCCTGGGAAAGCAGTGGAAGATGGCCCAACTACTTGAGTCCCTGCACCTGCGTGGGAGACCTGGCGGAAGCTCCTGGCTTCGGATTGGCGCTGCTCCGGCCGTTGCGGCCAATTGGGGAGTGAACCATTTGATGGAAGACCTCTCTTTCTCTCCCTCTCTGCCTCTCCTCTCTCTGTGTAACTCTGACTCTCAAGTAATAAAAAAATAAATCTTTAAAAAAAATAAAGATTAGCAACTCTAATGACAAGTATGTGATTCTCTTTAGAACTTTTATTTGTAATGAAATAGAATTAAGGAGAAAGGCTAATTTGCTTACATTCACAGCTGTTTTATATATTTACAGAAAACACCTATAGGAGAGAAAAAACTGTCTTACCATAAACTTTATAACATTGACTGTAAACTCATATCCCCTGTCCTGAAGAAAAGAACAAATTTTGACACAAACATCTACAAAATGCTGAACAAATGGGCTTATATAGTGGATTCTCCTCTACTTGTTTTTTTTTTTTTTGTTATTTATTTATTTATTTTTTGTTTGTTTGTTTTTAAAATATTTATTTGAAAGGTAGAGTGACAGAGGGAGAGGGAGACAGAGAGACCTCCCACCCACTGGTTCACTCCTCAAATGCCCACTACAGCTGGAGCAGAGCCAGGCTGAAGCCAGGTGCCTGGAACTCCATTCAGGTCTCCCACATGGTGGCAGGGACCCAAGGAACAGGCAATCATCCACTGCCTTCAAATAAGTTAGGGGAGCTGTATTGGAAGGAGTGGCTGCAACTTGAAAGGGCACCCTGATATCAGATGCAGGCATCCCAACCAGTGGCTTAACCAGTTGTTTACTTTTCTGGAAAATACTTAAGAGTTGAATTCTATTGTATAGCACGAGTAAATATACAACAGTCAGCAATTAACCCCTGAGCACTAAGGCATGAATTCTTAATTATTACAACCTGTTCTCTAGTTGTTGTTGTTTTTTAAGATTTATTCATTGGGGCCAGCACTGTGGCGCAGCACCGCCTGCAGTGCCAGCATCTCATATGCTGGTTCTCATATCTCATAGCCGGTTCGAGTCCCGGCTGCTTCTCTTCTGATCCAGCTCTCTGCTATGGCCTGGGAAGGCAGTAGAAGATGGCCCAAGTACTCGGGTCCCTGCACCCTGTGGGAGAACTAGAGCAAGCTCCTGGCTCCTAGCTTCAGATTGGCCCCGTTCCTGCCATTGCAGCCATTTGGGGAGTGAACCAACAGATAGAACTCTCTCTCTCTCTCTCTTTTGTCTCTCTGTAACTCTGCCTTTCTTTCTTTCTTTTAAAGATGCATTTTATTTTATTTGAAAGTCAGAGTTACACAGAGAGAGAAGGAGAGGCATAGGCCGGCACTGCGGCTCACTAGGCTAATCCTCCGCCTTGCGGCGCCGGCACACCAGGTTCTAGTCCTGGTGGGGGCACTGGATTCTGTCCCGGTTGCTCCTCTTCCAGGCCAACTCTCTGCTGTGGCCAGGGAGTGCAGTGGAGGATGGCCCAAGTGCTTGGGCCCTGCACCCCATGGGAGACCAGGAGAAGCACCTGGCTCCTGCCATCGGATCAGCGCGGTGCGCCGGCCGCAGCGGCCATTGGAGGGTGAACCAACGGCAAAGGAAGACCTTTCTCTCTGTCTCTCTCTCACTGTCCACTCTGCCTGTCAAAATAAATAAATAAATAAAAAAGAGAAGGAGAGGCATAGACAGAGAGAGAGAGAGGTAGCTTACCTGCTACACCACAGCACTGGCCCCATAACTCTGCCTTTCAAATAAGTAAATAAATCTTAAAAAAAACAACAACAAAACAAAACAAAACAAAACACAAAAACCTTAAGAGGGGAAATACCTAGTGGATTTCTTCTGTAGTGAGATGAGCCTTCTGCAGAGTAAGTGGGCTGAAACACACTTCCCAGCTGATGAGCAAGGACTTGGTTGATATCGCTAAAGGAGATCTGCTTGATATTCATGAGTTTTGCACAGATCTTATGGACAGCATCGTTCTCATGAACAAGGAGGGCATCTGAAGATCGGTACAGGTGAGAAAGAGTCAAAATGGAGTTGTAGTTCTGCACAATCACCTGGAGAAAGAAAAGGTGAGAAATAAGAAAGGCAGGAGAGAACAGTGGTGAGAAAGGATTGTTCTAGAGGCTTTCATTCTAAGTTCAAATCCTGGCTCAGTGGCTTTCTAGCTGGGTCACCTTGGGTTAGTTATTTAATAGCTCTAGGCCTCACTCCCTCATTTGTAAAATGGTCATAAGGATTTTTTTTAAAGATAATTTTTTTTAAAGATTTATTTTATTTATTTGACAGGGAGAGTTACAGAGAGAGACAGAGACAGAGAGAGAGGTCTTCCATCTGCTGGTTTACTCTCTGGATGGCCTCAACATCTGGAGCTAAGCTGATCTGAAGCCAGGAGCCAGGAGATTCTTCCAGGTCTCCCACACGGGTGCAGGGGCCCAAGGACTTGGGCCATCTTCTATTGCTATCCCAGGCCACAGCAGAAAGCTGGATCAGAAGAGGAGCAGCTGGGACTAGAACTGGCGCCCATATGGGATGCCGATGCTTCAGGCCAGGGCATTAACCCACTGCGCCACAGCACTGGCCCTGGTCATAAGGATTTTTAAAAAGATTTACTTATTTATTTGAAAGGAAGAGTTATAGACAGAGAGAAAAAGGAAAGGAGAGCTAGATCTTTTTTTTTTTAAATATTTTATTTATCTTATTTGAGAGGTAGAGTTATAGACAGTGAGAGGGAGAGACAGAGAGAGAGGTCTTCCTTCCGTTGGTTCACTCCCCAGATGGCCACAATGGCTGAAACCAGGAGCCAGGCGCTTCTTCCTGGTCTCCCACGTGGGTGCGGGGGCCCAAGGACTTGGGCTATTTTCTACTGCTATCCCAGGCCATACCAGAGAGCTGGAATGGAAGAGGAGCAGCAGGGACTAGAACCAGTGTCCATATGGGATGCCGGTGCCACAGGCAGACGATAGGTCTTTTTTTTTTTTTTGATAGGCAGAGTGGACAGTGAGAGAGAGACACAGAGAGAAAGGTCTTCCTTTGCCGTTGGTTCACCCTCCAATGGCCGCCGCAGCCGGCGCGCTGCGGCCTGTGCACCGTGCTGATCCGATGACAGGAGCCAGGTACTTATCCTGGTCTCCCAAGCACTTGAGCCATCCTCCACTGCACTCCCTGGCCACAGCAGAGAGCTGGCCTGGAAGAGGGGCAACTGGGACAGAATCCGGCGCCCCGACTGGGACTAGAACCCGGTGTGCCGGTGCCGCTAGGTGGAGGATTAGCCTAGTGAGCTGCGGTGCTGGCCAAATAAATAAATCTTTAAAACAAAATAAAGAAGTCTCCTAACAGCACATTTCTCAGAACACATCGCTGTCACTAAGTGATGTGACTGTCCAATATCACATAGTCACTCCTGATGTTGTAACAAAGTTTCCAAAGAAAGGATGGGATCAGTCTCAACCACATTTTTACACTGCAATGAAAACAAAACATGAAAACTTTCAATTAACATTTTCATACCTCACCAGTTCCATAAGGCCATATAATCTGATTCATTCTCAAAGAGTTTGAGAATTCATCTTGTAAATTCTGTGTAATGAAGGCTCCAAGCCCTGATCCTGTGCCCCCAGCCATACTCATTATGATGAAGAAACCACTCAAAGAGTCACATTTCTCCACTTCCTTCTGGATTAGGTTCATTATTGATTCCTGATGCCTGGGTCCGTGAACAGAGTAACTGTGCAATGGCAAAAGAAACAAATGACACATTTCAATTTAACCAGAGAGGTGTTAGGCCAATAAAATGACTTGGACAGAGGCTCTTTCAAAGCTATGGAAGTGGAACCGGCATTGTAGCAGAGCAGGTAAAGCTGCTGCTTGCGACGCCAGCATCCCATATGGGTGCCAGTTCATATCCTGGCTGCTCTATTTCTGATCCAGTTCCTTGCTAATGTGCTTGGGAAAAATCAGCAGAAGATGGCCCAAGTGTTTGAGCCCCTGCAACCCACATGGAATACCTGGAAGAAGCTCCTGGCTTCAGCCTGGCCCAGCCCTGGTGGTTGAGGCTATCTGGAGACTGGATTTCCCAGTAGATGGAAGATCTCTCACTCTGTCTCTCTTTCTCTCTCTTTCTGTAACTCTTTCAAATAAATAAATAAATCTTAAAAAAAAAAAGATATGGTGGGGCTAGCATAGTGGGTAAAGCCGCCATCTGTAGCACTGTCATCCCATATCGGTACCAATTCAAGTTCTGGCTGCTCCACTTCCAATCCAGCTCCCTGCTAATATGCCTGGGAAAGCTGCAGAGGTTGGCCCAAGTCCTTAGGCCCCTGCCCCACGTGGGAGACCCGGAAGAAGCTCCTGGCTCCTGGCTCCTGGCTTCGGCCTGGCCCAGCCTGGGTTGTTGCAGTGATTTGGGGAGTGAACCAGTAGATGGAAGATTCTCTCTGTCTCTCCTTCTGTCTCTGTAACCCTGCCTTTCAAATCAATAAACAAACCTTAGGGGAAAAAAAGTTTACATAAAAAAAAAAAAAAGCTATGGAAGTGAACTATGATGAAAGGTACCCTGATTGGCAAAATTTAAAATATACAAATTAAAAATATTTAAAAGGCAAATAGGACTACTAGGAGAGTGAATTTAGCTGGAGCTTTCAATTGCCAGGTGTTTCTACAATTTTTTTGGGACAACATAATATTCAGTGTTCACAGGAGTAGTCCTAGATCAGTGTTTCTCAAACATTGCTGCACATCAGAGCCACCTGGGGAGCTCTGAAAAAAAATCCCATCTGCTGGGCTTCCCCCTAAACCAACTGATTCAGAATCTGGAAGTGAGCCCAGGCATCAAAGTTTTCCAAAAGAACCCTAGGAAATTATAACGTGCAAGAAATATAAGAATTACTTCCTTGTAGCACTCCCTATAATTGGACTACCTGCCAGATAAGGATTTTACAATGGTAATAAGCTAATTTACTCATTCAGGAATTTAAGTTAATTCGCAGCAGCAGGTCAGTAAGATGGAAGAACCTACTGCAAGGGTTCCTTGGTTTCATCATTTCCTGTACCTGAAGTACAGACAGAGACAGAATAAGAGTTTCTTCTGGGTGAAGTCAAATTCTAAATTTAAAAGAGCAATTGCAAGGTTATGCACTCAGTCTATCAGCTGCGCAACTACACTGTTAGTTGACTATGCAGCTACATTGAAACTGAAATTATGAGGAATTATTCTTACCCATATGCCCAGTTGTTTCCAGAACCTTGTTTTTGACAGAAGCATGAATGCTGACCATACTTCCATCTTCCAGACTGGGCAGCCTTTGACAGTGTTTGATTAATAACTTTAGGTTCCATGTCAACGAGTACAGCCCGGGCAATTGGAACTAGAAAGGGAAACAAAATCAAAGAAAAAACAATATTTCCTACATCTTATTTGAGTAACTCAGGTCAGAAGCAAATAGGTCCAGAAAAAAACATCCAGGGGGTTGGAAATTGCTTAGAAAGCTGGGGGCAGCAGGAATATATACGCATACTCATAGAGCCCAGCACCCTGCTAGGCAGGTGAATCACTAAGGGCCAATATGATGACTTGGATCAGGTCTACAGACATCTGTTGAGTGCTTACAATGTGTCCTGTGCGATGAAGACAACATCTCCAGCCCTACATAACATATGCTATGATCCACACCAAAGGAGCAGCATACTCAGACAAAATGCTGTGTGTATAACGTGTGGCTCTAAATTGTTGGAACAGAGGATGAAAAAGAAATGATGGACGGGATGCAAAGCAGGCCGGACTCAGATCGTGGAAATTCTTGTAGACAATGAATTCAAGCTAAAAGGCTTGAATCTGATCTATTAGGCAATAAGCCACCGAAAATGTCCAAGTACAGGAAGAATAGTCAGATGTCTTTTTTAACACAGTGTAGAGGACAGATGTGACAGATCTAAGATTCCAGGCAGAAACAAACCAGAAAGTGTCTTGAAACAGTCCAGGCAAGAGAGGACAAGAGCAGAATGAAGACAGAAAGGGGAGAAGAGCTGCAGGAGATATATAGGAGGTACAATACGCAGATTGTTTTTTTCCTGGATTTTTTTTCAAGGTTTATTTTACTTATTTGAAAGGCAGAGTTACAGAGTGAAAGGGAGAGACAGAGAGAGCTCTTCCATCTGCTAGATCACTCCCTAAATGGTCACAATGAGTAGGGCAGGGATAGGCTGAAGCCAGGCGCCTGGAACTCCATCCAGGTCTCCCACGTGGGTGGCAGGGGCCCAAGCAGTTGAACCATCTTCTGCTGTTTTCCCAGGCACATTAGCAGGGAGCCTGATAGGAAGTGGAGCAGCTGGAACTGGAACTGTTGCTCATGTGGGAAGCAGGCATCTCAGGAGGCAGCCTAACCTGCCGTTCCACAACGCCAGCCCTAGTAAACAGCTTCTGGTGTATGATAGTATATGAGCAGTAAAGAACACAAGTTTAAAGGAAGGATAACAAATGCTTTGGTATGGAAATTCTGGGTTTGAGGCTCACACAGGAGAGGAAGGGGAGACATCCATTAATCAGTCTGCAGTTTAGGAGAGAGCTGGGTTAAGTCAATGGTGTAAAAGAAAAGACAGCAGATTAGGAGACTCCTGTGTCTCAGAGAGCACTACACAAGAGAGGGCAAAGGAGAGCCCACAATGCAACCACTGGGGGAAAAAGTTAGGAAGTTAAAGAGAAGGAGTTTCAAGGAGAGGGTTTCATAATTAATGCTATCAAATCCAGCAGAGAAGGCAAGTGAGTTACAGGAAACAGCAGTTATGTCTGGGAATTAGGAACACACTGGGAACTCTTCTTAGACTATTCAGTGGTGTTATGGGTCAGATGCAGAATTGCAGTTGGTCCAGCAGGATTCTCCTTTGAGAACCTTGGATGAGAAGTTAAAGAGATAAGACAGAAGAAGAAATCTGTAGTTGAGAGATAAGTTTTGTTTGTGTGGCTTTAGATTGGTGAAATCTGTTGAGGAGGAAAATGCCACTGGATAGGCAAAGGTGGCTACCATAGAAACAAGTGCCGAGCGCAAAGTCATCTCCCAGAGCAATGAGAAGAGAGGGGGTTCTGATACCTGCGTAGGGCCTGGTTATGTCAGGAGCAAAGGAGAGGACAGTGGACCACACATACCTCCATTCTCCTCCTCACTGAAGAACCTTTCTTTGCAAGATGCTTGATACGCCTCATTCTCTTTCTTAGAGCAAAAACCCTGGGAACAGTGCGAATCGCTGAACAGAGCATCAAACACTTCAAAACCAATCTGATTGCCACACTGGCCGAGTTGCACTGTCACTATTGACATGCTGAGCTGCAAACGAAGTCTGTTCCCTCAAAAGAATGAGCAACCTGTAATAGAAAAGATACAGGCTTTGAAAACCACCAAATTACTAATAGGAAAAAAATACAGTGCCGTATGTGCTAATTATACATCAATAAAAATAATTCCAAAATGCCATATATCATAGGTATATGGCACTGAAAACGAAAAATAATTATGCTGCCTAAGGGGCCAGTCATTCAAGGAAGTCTTACTCTTACCACTGCAGATAATTTGGAGGTTTGTAATATGTTTTTTCTTAATCCACTCACACCCAGATCAATAGTTCCCAAAATCCGATTTGGACTTAAAACTATTTTCCTAAGCATGAATTTAAAACAGAAACCAAAATGAATGCTTGTTGAAGGAATTAGCAGGACACACTCCGCACCACAGAAGCATCAGGAGGTAACCCAACAGTTAACGTGCATTTCCTCTCTTCTAAATAGCAAGCCACCTCTCTCCACCTTTCTGGCCTGTTAGCTCAGCCGGACTTACAGGGAAGATTGCAAGAAAGAGGGATCTTGGAGAACGAAGCGCAGATGACGGATTAGAACAGGTCTTCGTGGTGCTTAACAAAGAAAAGAGATGATTTTTGATAAAGCCCGCACCCACGTCGGGTCTAGGCAGCACCGGGTCACAGTGATAGTGAGCCAGACTCCAAACTTAGAATTTCAAACCCGCAGAGTAGGCACTGCCCTCGTTTTACAGATAAGACGACTGAGGCTTCGAGAGCTCGTGAGCTCGTGAGACTTTCCCAAGGCCACTGATCTGGTAACCAGCAAAGCCAACGCGCTTTTTCCTCGCGGGTCCCAGGAACTCCTACTCACTGACAGCCCCGGGACCGCCGTTTCGGCGCCGTTCAAACTTCAGAGGCCCCGCCTCTTCGCTATGCGCATGCTCACTTTCAGCAAGGAAAAAAAAGCCACTAAGAACGAATGCGCATGTTCCACAAACGAAGAGTTTTGTGTATTTTTTCCCCTATTCATAGAAGGTAATTACGCATGTTCAATTTCAATTTATCAACTTCTGATAAGGTACGCATGCTCACTGTCCATCAAATGCTCTAGCCCACAGTGCGCAGGCGCCAGTCTCCAGCCACGGCTTCAACTGGTGTTTTGCGCAGGTCTCTGCCAGTACCGGGACCCTACCGATAGTTCTACGCATGTTCCCTGCCCAGTTTGACTTCACGGATCTCTGTACGCATGCGCCAGCGCTGAACTTGAGGAGCCAGTCTAGGGCCTAAGCGCAGACGCATTGAGCCTAAGCAGCCGGTGATGGCGGCAGCGGCGGCTGTGGCTGCGGCGGGTCCGGGCCCATGAGGCGACGACGGAGGCGGGACGGCTTTTACCCAGCGCCTGACTTCCGAGACAGGGAAGCTGAGGACATGGCTGGAGTGTTTGACATAGACCTGGACCAGCCAGAGGACGCGGGCTCTGAGGATGAGCTGGAGGAGGGGGTGAGGCCCGGGGTCCCGGGGGGCTCGAGGTGACAGGGCCGGGGCGGCGGCGCGCGCCCAGCAAGCCCAGAGTCCCCTAGAGCGCGGAGACCCTGGGGGGCGCGAGGAGCCTCCAGGTGGAGCTGAGGCGCTGCGCGGCCCCAGGCAGGGAGCGGGCGGGGCAGAGCCGGCCCTAGGTATGTGAGGCCTCTGCGGGGCTCGCAGGTGCAGGTCGCGCCCTGATTTCCCCGGGTCAGCGCAGCCCCGAGCAATCTGTTTGCAGAGGGAAGGAGAAAGGGCGCGTGGTCGATTCGCGGGGCTGTTGGAGTAGTGTGGCGAGGCGCGGGTGGTAGGAGCGTGTGCTGGGGGGAGGGGGGCTGCGCTGGCCGGGTGTCCCGTAAGTGCAGGTGAAGTGCGGAAGGGTTTCCCTGCAATGTAAGATTTCAAGTAGTCGATCTGCAGACCTCCCACAACCACCTCTCTTCTCGGCCTGTCGCTTCTCTCCTAGGAAGCGCTCAGCTGTTAGAAGTGACAGCTGAAAACTTCTGTCGGGAGTAGCACTGCCGCTGCTGTTACAGCCACCAGGAGTTTTATTTCGGGAGCAAGGGGGCTCTGCTGCATCTTCCAGGGTTTGTTTGTTTGCTTTTTTTTTTTTTTTAAACCTCCTTCCGTGTGCCTTTTTTTTAAAGCATTTATAGCGACACACGGCATTTGTACCTCATTTTCCCCCAAGTTGAAGATGTGTATATTTTTTCAGAATAATTTATGTAATTTTGGGGTGGAAAAAAACCAGTGTTGACAGCTGTGATTTGACTTGCCAAAAATAAATTGCTTGAACTGAGACTTGTGAATAGTGGTGTGAGGGCTTTCCTTGCTGTAATTTGGGGTGCTAAATTTAGAATTGTTCTTCCTAATGCACAGCTTGGTTCTACCTTTGCCATCTTCGTGCTGTGTAAATCATTATGGAATATCACTTATTTCAAGATAAATTTATTGAAAAATCACAAGTTGCACCGGAAGCTCAAAAATGCTGTTGTCATACTAAATCACTGATTATGGACAAATGATCATCAGTAATACCTTTATGGTAACTTAGACTGTAAATTTCATTGTCCATGGGAGGACACGAATGAATGACTGATGTCAGATTCTTGCATAAGGGGCTTCCTTTCCCTTTCCTCACTCCCTAGTTTTCCTCCTCTGGCAAGTAAATTGTGCCCTACTGCTGGCAAAAGATTGAAATGGTATGTATACAGAACCTTGAACAGTTAAAGAAACTAAATGAGCTAAAATAATACTGTTCTTTCTTAATCAAATGAGTCTAAATCAAAATCACACGGTTTAGAAGGTGGGTATGGAGATATGTTTTCATGTGGAATTCCAATTAGCCTCTTAATCATCCGTCCTGATACACTAAATACAATTTGAAACAAATACAGAATTACTTTCATTATATACACCATATTCTAGCTGGTTATATTGGTTCCATATGGAAGGCTTTGGAACAGGGCAGCAGAGAAGACTGCACAGGAAGTTTGCTTTATGTCTTCATTTGTTGGACTAACAGAATTTCCAGACCATAGGTTATCTTTCTTTGGAAAGCACAGTCCTGTGTTAGGATTCCTGTTGTGAATGGGAATCTCATTGTTCTTTTCACTTTGTTGATGTGTTTCAGGAACAGTAGGTGTTCCAGTTCTGGCCTACTCCTGGGCTTTTGTTGTGCTGGATAAAGTAGGATCTTGAAAGGGTGTGGGGAAGGGATCAGAAAAGTTGGTGGAGTAGCAAAGAAATGTGTCTACTACCTCAGAGAGAGGAACTCTGGGGAAGGACCAGAGGTAATTAAAGGTGAGGAAGAGCCTTCAGTAAAATGTATCTTACTTAGCAGTAGTTTTGGAGTTGAAAATGTTTCTTTTGAATGTATTATTAGAAGAGATGGGCAAGGGAAAAGGGTTGGAGTGGGATTGGATTGGCAGTCAAGGAGGCTCAAGCGACATCTGGATTACTCTGAAATAAAAATTCTTAATTCTGAAATAGAGAAGTTTGGATTCTTAGAAAATCTTTTGTTTTCTATTTGTGGCTGTATTATCTATTTATTTTTAAAGATTTATCTATTTCGTTTGAAAGGCAGAGTTACAGAGAGGTAGAGGCAGGGAGAGAGGCTGGTCTGACATCCACTGGTTCACTCCCCAGATGGTCCTAATGGATGGAACTGCGCTGATTCAAAGCCAGGAGCCAGGAGCTTCTTCCAGGTCTGACACATGGATGCAGGGGCCAAAGGACTAGGGCCACCTTCCACTGCTGTCCCAGGCCATAGCAGAGAGCTGGATCGGAAGTGGAGCAGCTGGGATTCAAACTGGCGCCCATATGGGATGCCAACACAGCAGGCGGTGGCTTTACCCCCTACACCACAGTGCTGACCCCGTGACCATATTATTTATTACACCAGTTTTTTTTTTTTTTTTAACCTTCGTGCATATCAGAGTAGCCTGATGTCTTCATGTTTTGAATAATTGAGAAGCAGAGACAGAGACAGAATCTCCCATCAGGTTTATTCCACAAATATCTGTGATAGTTGGGGCTGGGCCAGGCTGAAGCTGGGAGTTGGGAATTCAATCCAGGTCTCCCACATGGGAGGCAGCCATCTTCTGCTGCCTCCCAGGGTCTACATTAACTAGAACACTGGCATTGGGAGCAGAGCCAGCACTTGAACCTAGGCGCTACAATATGGATTGCAAGTGTCCCAAGAGGCATCTTAGCTGTTAGGCCAAATGCCTACCCCATGTCTTCATTTAATAGTTAGGAAGCAGACATAGACCAGGAAGGTAATTACCCCTTCAGAGTGCTAGCATTTTCTGATTCAATCAGCAAATTTCATTGCACAGATTGTTGTTTTTTTTTTTAAAGATTTGCTTATCTATTTGAAAGGCAGAAATACAGAGAGAGAGAAGGGAGGGAGAGAGAGATCAATATCGATCTTTTGTCCGCTGATTCATTCCCCAAATGGTTGCAGCGGTTCAGGCTGGGCTAGGCTGAAGCCAGGAGCTTCCTCTGGGTCTTCCACATGGATGCAGGGGCCAAGAGCTCGGGCCATCTTCACTGCTTTCCCAGGTGCATCAGCAGGGAGCTGGATCAGAAGTGGAACTGCTGGAACTGGAGCTGGCACCCATATGGGATGCTGGAGCCACAAGCAGAGATCCAACCCTCTACTCCACAGCACTGTACTTTTTTTTTTTTTTTAAGATTTATTATTTTTTTTTTTTTGAAAGACAGTGATAGAGGGAGACATATACACAGAGAGAGAGGGAGGGAGGGAGGGAGACAGAGACAGAGACATATATACATACAGAGAGGTATCTTTCATGTGTTGGTTCACTTCCCAAATGCCCACAACAGCCAGGAATTGGCCCATGCCAAAACCAGGAGTCAGGAACAACATATGGGTTTCCTGTGTGGGTGGCTAGAACCCAAGTACATGGATGTCCCATGATACATATGCAGGAAACTGGATAGGAAGCTCAGGGTAGCTGGGAGTGGAACCAGGCACTCTGATGTGGGATGTTGGCATCCCAATCAGTGGCTTAATCTGATGTACCACAATGCCTGCCTGTGCGCAGATTTTTTTTTTGTTTCAGTTTATTTGAGAAGCAAAGAGAAACAAAGACAAGTCCCATCTGCTGGTTCACTACTCAGATGCCTGCAGTGTCTGGTTACAGGAACTCAACTACTTGAGTCGCTGTTGCTGCCTCCTAGGGTTGTCATCAGCAGGAAGCTGGAATCGGGAGCCGGAGCTCAGGCTTGACTCAGACGCTTCCATGTGGAGTGTTGGCATTCTTAACAGGTGTCTTAACCACTAGGCCAAAGGCTTGTGCTGCAGATTCTTTATTGCCTTTACTCATCACAGTGTACCTTTGTGGTGTGTTGAAAGTGAATTCAGGGCTGGCGCCGTGGCTCACTAGGCTAATCCTCCACCTTGCGGCGCCGGCACACCGGGTTCTAGTCCCGGTCAGGGTGCCGGATTCTGTCCCGGTTACCCCTCTTCCAGGCCAGCTCTCTGCTGTGGCCAGGGAGTGCAGTAGAGGATGGCCCAAGTGCTTGGGCCCTGCACCCCATGGGAGACCAGGAGAAGTACCTGGCTCCTGCCATCAGATCAGTGCGGTGCGCCGGCCGCAGCTTGCTGGCTGCGGCGGCCATTGGAGGGTGAACCAACGGCAAAGGAAGACCTTTCTCTCTGTCTCTCTCACTGTCCACTCTGCCTGTCAAAAAATAAAAAAAATAAAAAAAAAAAGTGAATTCAGGGTCTGGCACTGTGGCATAGTAGGCTAAGCCTCAGCTTGCAGCACCAGCATCCCATGTGGGCGCCAGTTCATATCTTGGCTGCTCCTCTTCTGATCCAGCTCTCTGCTATGGCCTGGGAAAGCAGTAGAAGGTAGCCCAATACTTGGGCCCCTGCACCCATGTGAGAGACCCAGAGGAAGCTCCTGGCTTTGGATTAGCCCAGCTCTGGCCGTTGCAGCCATTTGGGGAGTAAACCAGTGGATGGAAGACCTACCTCTCAAATAAATCAGTAACTCTACCTCTCAAATAAATAAATTTTTTTTGAGATTTATTTATTTGAAAGAGTTAGAGAGACACAGAAAGGTCTTCCATCTGCTAGTTCACTCCCCAAATGGCTGCAATAGCCGGAGCTGGGCCTATCAGGAACCAGAATCATCTTCTTGGCACCCATACGGATGCTGGCACTATAGGCTGGGGCCTTAGCCCACTAGACCACAGTGCCGGCCCCAAATCAATAAATATTTTTTTTTAAAAGGAAGAAAATGTGAATTTAGATCCCTTCAGCCATACTATGTTACCTAGAATAAATTGCTTAATCTCTCTGACACTTTTTTCTTCTCTGTAAAAATAAAGTAGGTAAAGTAGTCTTAAAATGTCCTGACATGGTGCTGGCATTGGGGCATCACAGGTAAAGCCACCACCTGCAGTTCTGGCATCACATATAGGTGCTGATTTGAGTCCTGGCTGCTCCACTTCTGATCCAGCTCTCTGCTATGGCCTGGGAAAGCAGTAGAAGTGTTTGGGCCCCTGTACCTGCATGGGAGACTTGAGGGAAACTCCTGGCTCCTGGCTTTGGATAGGCTCAGCTCTGACCATTGCAGCCATTTGGGGAGTGAACCAGTGGTTGGAAGACCTCTCTCTGTGCCTCTGCCTCTCTGTAGCTTATCAAATAAATAAATCTTTAAAATAAAATGTCCTGGCATATTAAACAGCTGGAAGTATAGCTTACTATTGTGTTACTCAGAGACTAATCATTCACGTTTACCCTCATTTAGTCCTAGAGACTTAATAATAAATTTAGTTAAATTTGGGGTCGGCGCTGTTATGCAGTAGGTTAATTCTCCGCCTGTGGTGCTAGCATCCCATATGGGCTCTGGTTCGAGTCATGGCTGCTGCTCTTCCAGTCCAGCTCTCTGCTATGTCCTGGGAAAGCAGTAGAAGATGGCCCAAGTGTTTGGCCTCCTGCACCCTAATGGGAGACCTGAAAGAAGCTCCTGGCTCCTGGCTTTGGATCAGCGCAACCCCAGCCATTGTGGCTTTTTGGGAAGTGAACCAGCAGATGGAAGACCTTTCTCTCTGTCTCTTCCTCTCACTGTCTGTAATTCTACCTCTCAAAGAATAACTAAAATCTTTTTAAAAAATTTAAATTAGAGTGCTGTATTTTTAGAGCTTTAACATAATCATCTTATTTTTAAGTTTAAAAAATTATTTATTTTCATTTTATTTGGAAAGTAGACATATAGAGACAGATTCTCCATCCACTGGTTCATTTCCTAAAAGGCCACAACAGCCAGTGCCAGGCCAAAGCCAGAAACCTGGAATTCAATCCAGGTCTCCCACGTAGATGGCAAAGACTCAAGTACTTGAGCCATCTTCTTCTCCTCCCAGGGCATATGTTCCCAGAAAGCTGGAATTGGAATCAGTGCTAGGACTTGAACCGAAGTACTTTGATTTGGGATGCAAAGGTCCCAAGTAGCATCTTAAGTACTACCCCAAATATCTGCCCCTATTTCTTTTTAAATTACCCATCCTATTTAGAGATACATATGCCTTTTCAGATATGTTACATGGAGTTACTGTTTACTGTGTTAGTAAATGTAATGTTTGCATTGCTTTGTTAATTCTTTGGAGAATAAAAGATGAGACTATAAACTGATACATTTGTGGACAAAGTTGAATGTCTTGCTAAAAACAGATCTTGGTTGAATACTTAAGAGGAAAAATTCATATGTATTAAAACCAATAGGTAAGAGGGTTTTTGTGTGTGTGAGGGGGGAGTTGTATTGTTTTTTAGTTTCACTAGTGATGGTACCATTTGGGGCAGTGAATAAATCCAAGGGACAGTTTTTGCATACAGAGAATTTCATTAAACCCTGAAAATGCTGGGTGCTTCTCTATTTTATGTGTCACTAAAGAGGAGAAAATTGTAATGCAGTTTTTAAAATCCTCTTTCCACTACTAATTCAAGGTTTGAAATAATTGCTGAGGCTTACTTCATAAGTTTAAGATTGAATATCAGGCTTTTATTCAGTAAAAAGTTAAATGTTTCTAAAAACAAAAGATATTTGTATAATAAACTCCCAAATATTCATGATTATGAAAAGTTAGAGAAAAAAGTCTCATCACTCATTATCTTACCTTATAATACATACCATAAAGTAGCAGCTATTAAAAATTGTTTTTAAATTTATGTATTTGAGAGAGAATGAGAACTTCTATCCACTGGTTCACTTCCCAAATACCCAGAATGGTCGAGCAGAGCTAGATTAGGGGGTCAGGAACTGGGAACTCAATCCAGGTATCCCACGTGGGTGGCAGGAACCAAATTACTTGCTTCCCAGGATCTACATCAGCAGGAAGCTGGAGTCAGGAATTGAACCCACATACTCTGATGTGAGATGCCAGCATCTTAACTGCTAGGCGAAACACCCACCCTAGCAACTACTTTTAATTCGCTCAAGAATTTGGGCAAGGTTTACCCCTTTTCCCAATTGATCTGAATTATTGAGTCATAGAAGGAACTGTCTGTGACTAGCCAGGCAAACACATGATTGATTTAATGAATCTCTGAATCAAGGATAATATCACTGAAGAACAATTTGTTTAAAATTTTATAAGATGTATTTTCTTTCATTGCATCTTTAGATGTATTAACATAAGATTTTATACATTTTAGTTTAAAACTGTGCAGTAGTCATTGTTGTAGGCTAGTTTATCGTGTAGAGTCCCTAAGGAGAGAAGATTTCAGATTGCCAGTCAGAGAAAGCACTGGATGGTCACAAAGCTTTAAGGCAGCCAAAAATTCTGAATAAAGAGTTTTCCATGAAAGAGTGTTTTCAGTATGTGTTTCATAATGTTAGCTTGATGCCTTTGGTATGAGACTTTTCTAAAGGTAACGCTGGGAAGCAGAAAAGAATTGTGGCTCAAATGCTTCTTCTCTAGATTGTAATGGTAGAAAGTCATAGGCAGAGATGCAGGTGGTGGGTATTACAGGCCTGGCCAGCTCCGGAAATGAAACGTAGCTGTAGGGTATATCTTGTGAGGTGGCTTCAAAGTCATGTAACTACTCTGTGGTCTTTAATTTGGAATTAAGTAAAACTAACATTAAAGAAAAAAACAAATACTACCAGTTTTATGACATCTGTTAAAGTGAAGCTATCGGGGCTAGCACTGTGGCGCAGTGGGCCCCAGCCTGCAGCACCAGCATCCCATATGGGTGCTGGTTTGAGTCCTTGCTGCTCCATTTCTGATCCAGCTCGCTGCTGTGGCCTGGGAAAGCAGCAGAGGGTGGCCTAAGTCCTTGGGCCCCTACACCCATTTGGGAGACCTGGAAGAAGCTCCTGGCTCCTAGCTTCAGATCTGCTCAGCTCCAGCCGTTGGAGCCATCTGGGGAGTGAACCGGTGGATGGAAGAACTCTCTGTGTCTCTGTCTCTGTCTCTACCTCTCTCTGTAACTCTTTCAAATAAATAAAATAAATCTTAAAAAAAAAAAAAAGTGAAGCTGTCGTAGGTGATTATATACAGTAATAGAGACCAAAGAAACTTTACCAAGAACCATTTCTACCCACACACACAAAGAAACTTTATCTAGTTGAAATTGTAATAGGTTTTTGCCTCAGTACTACCCCATCTGTTTTCCTCAGTCTAGTCCTGAAGCGTATTTCTAGTGTTATACAACTTGGTGTGTGTGTGTGTGTGTGTGTGTGTGTCGGGGGAGGGTGTTATTTGAACTTCTGTAAGAATGTTAATAATTTTCATTATGTTTGTTGACTGTGTACTGGTACTGTTGAAGAAAGATTCATTCTAAAAATTTGACACTGCTTATAAACATCTGCTTTTTAAGAACCTATTTTTAGTTAATTGATTTCATAGTCAAATGCCCCAAATGTTCACAGTGGCCTCTGGCCAGGCTGAGGGCTAAAGCAGGGAGCCAGGAATCCAATCCAGATCCTTTGTATGGGTGCTAGGACCCAATCACTTGAACCATCACCGCTGCCTCCCAAGATCTATATTAGTAAGAAGCTGCAGTTGGGAGTGGAGTATTGAATTCATCCACTTCCATTCAGGATGCAGGCTTCATAACCAGTGTCTTAACTGTTAAGCCAACTGCCCACATAAGCCTGTTTTCTATTAAGTGATACCCTTTTGTGTAAGCTGAAACATAATCAAACTATATTCCAGAATACTCTTTTTTTTTTTTTTTTTGACAGGCAGAGTGGACAGTGAGAGAGAGAGACAGAGAGAAAGGTCTTCCTTTGCCATTGGTTCACTCCCCAAATGGCTGCCAGGGCTGGTGCGCTGCGCCGATCTGAAGCCAGGAGCCAGGCGCTTCCTTCTGGTCTCCCAAACGGGTGCAGGACCCAAGCACCTGGGCCTTCTCCACTGCACTCCCTGGCCACAGCAGAGAGCTGGATTGGAAGAGGAGCAACCGGGACAGAATCTGGCGCCCCGACCGGGACTAGAACCCGGGGTGCTGGCGCAGGCAGAGGATTAACCTAGTGAGCTGCGGTGCCGGCCTGTTTTTTTTCCCCCAAGATTTATTCAATTATTTATTTGAAAAGTAGAGTTACACACAGAGAGAGAGGTCCTCCATCCACTGGTTCACTCCCCCAATGGCCACAATGATCAGAGCTGGGCTGATCCAAAGCCAGGAGCTTCCTTCCTGTCTCCCAAGCACTTGGGCCATTTTCTACTACTTTCCCAGGCCTTAGCAGAGAGCTGGATTGGAAGTAGAACAGCCGGGACTGGAACCGCCACCCATATAGGATGCTGGCACTGCAGGCTGTGGCTTTACCTGCTATGCCACAGTGCTGGCCCTTCCTTTGCTTTCCCAGGCACCTTAGTAGGCAGCCAGATTGGAAGTACAATAGCCAGTACTTGAACTGGTGCCCATATGGGATGCTAGCATCTCAGGCGGTGGCTTTACCCACTGTGCCACAATGCCAGCCCCCATTTTATTTATTTATTTATTTTAAAGATTTACTTATTTATTTATTTGAAAGAGTCACAGAGAAAGAAAGAGATTGCTGGCTCACTCCCTGAAAGGCTACAACTGGTACTGGTCCAGACCAAATCCAGGAGCCTGGAATTCTGTTCAGGTCTCCCACGCGCGTGGCAGGGGCAGAAATATTTGGGCCATCTTCCATTGCTTCCCCAGGTGTGTTAGCAGGGAGCTGGATTGGAAGTGGAGCTGCTGGGACTTGGACCAGTGCCCATATGGGATGCTAGCACCACAGGCTAAGCTTACTATGCCACAGCGCCGGCCCCTGATTTTGGTTTGTTTATTTATTTGAAGGGGAGAGTGACAGAGATCTTTCATCCTAAGGTTTACTCCCCAAATGGCCACAAAAGCCAAGACTGATCCAGGTGGAAGCCAGGAACCCACAGCTCCATCTGGGTCTCCCACATGGGTGACAGGGGCTCAAGCCCCCAGGCCATCTTCTGCTGCTTCCCAGATCTTAGCAGAGAGCTGGATTGGAAGTGGTGCAGCGGGGACACAAGTGATCCCCTGTGTGGGATGCCAGTGCCGCAGGTGGTGGCTTTACCTACTATGCCACAATGCCAATCCAGATTTATTTATATTTTTTAAGTTGTAAAGAAAAGAGGTTTATTTGGCTCGTGGTTCTGGAGGTGCAAGGTGGAGGAGGCCACATCTGGTGATGGCTTTCTTGCTGGTCAAGTCCAGAGGAGGTACAGGGCATCAGAAGGCAAGAGACAGAGGAGCATGCGTGGGTACCATGTGTCTGCTCTTGGTGTCTGTCTCCCTCTCTCTCCCCTCCTTTCTCTCCTCCTCTCCCCTTTCCACCTACCACATCCTGTAAATCTTTTTTCAAAGATTTAGTTATTTTATTTGAAAGGCAGAGTGATAGGGAGAAACAGAGAGTGAGAGATTTCTATATAAATTTTAAGATCAGTTTGTCAATTTTTGCAAGAAAGGAAGCTGAGATTTTGGAAGGATTCAGTTGACTCATGAATCCAGAATGCCTTTCCATCTATTTAGTACTTTAAAGCTATTTTTTAAGCAATCTTTTATAGTTTTCAGTGTACAAGCTTATACTTCTGTTAAGTTTTTTCTGTTATTGATGCTATTGCGAATGAAATTGTCTTAATTTGGGTTGTTTATTGCTGGTGTGTAAAAGGGTAATTAAGTTTTGCATCCGTTTATTCTACATTCAGAAAAAATGTGTAGCTAGCTTGACTCCTGACTATGTGACAGTGCTGCTTAATTATTTTGCCTTGATTAGCCGCATTGTGTGCTACATGCCTCAGACTAGTTGTGGTTGCTTTAGGCTTATTTCCTAGCATTATGGTAGTCTGTGTATCAGAAACATGGCAGAACAACACTTTGTGTAAATCATTTGATTTAGTAATTTGTACATAGAACTTAGCTTCATAATATACAAAAACACATTTAAAAATAATTTTTGAAGTAAAAATCACTTGGTTATTTATTAAAGGTTTATTTTATTTTTGTTTGAAAGGCAGAATTACAGAGATAAAAAAGGAGAGAGATAGAGGTCTTCCAACCACTGGTTCACTTCCCAAATGGCTGCTCAGCCAGGCTGAAGCCAGGAGCCAGAAGTTTCATTAGGGTCTCCCATGTAGGTGGCAGGGCCAAAGACTTGGACCATCCTCCACTGCTTTACCAGGTGCCTTAGCAGCAAGCTGGGTCCAAGGTGGATGCCCGCATTGCAGGCGGTGGCTTAACTTGCTATGCCACAATGCTGATCCCCACGGGTTTTGTTTTTACATCACTGATGAGTAGCCTCTGTTGTTTCACTAGTATATAAAATTAGAAGTGAAATTCCTGTGATATTATTTGAATACTTCATTTTGTTCATGACTTTATTATCTTATTACTGAAGTAAAAAATTTAAGTTTGTTTATTTCATTGATTCTCTTTCAGTTATGAGCTAAATCACTAAATTTTTAAATTTTATGCTTATGAGATTATTTATTTCCAAAACTTTAACGTATTTTACAGGGTCAGTTAAATGAAAGCATGGACCATGGGGGAGTTGGACCATACGAACTGTAAGTTTATATGAAAATATTTCTATTCTATCTTTCTTACAAGTAGGTTTTATCAGTTTCAACTCATAGCCATCATGTGATCCCAGTAATCTGTCTTTAAATATCTGGTCATATTTATTATAGACTTAGTTATTGAGTTTGACGCCAAGATCCAATCAGTATAATAACATATCCAGATTTTTGAGTTTATGTGTGGATATCGAGAAAAAGATACATTTATAGTGTACTGAATATGAGCCTTGGATAGTTAAGAATTTTTGTTAGAGAACCACATTTCTTTTCTTTTTTTAAGTAAGTATTTGAAAGAAAGAGTTACGCAGAGGCAGAGAGAGAGAGAGAGAGAGGTCTTCCATCCGCTGGTTCCCTCCCCAGATGGCCGCAGTGGCTGGAGCTGCACCAGTCCAAAGCCAGGGTCTTCTGGGTCTCCCTTGTGGGTTCAGAGGCCCAGGCATTTAGGCCATCTTCTACTATTTTCCCAGTCGGTAGCAGAGAGCTGGATCGAAGTGGAGCAGTTGGTACTCTAACTGGCGCCCATATGGGATGCCAGCACTGCAGGTGGTAGCTTTACCTGCTATGCCATAGCACAGAGAACCACATTTCTAACCTTTTTTTTTTTCTGAAGAAACTTGTAGACATGCTCCAAAAAGTCATTTGCTTCTTTTGCTTCAATACATCATTCAAACACTTTAATGAAATCATGTAATCTGCTTTGTACCTACCTTCAAATAGAAAGTCTTAGGTGTAGGGGGAAACTGAAAAAGATGGATAGCTTATATAGAAAGAATGTAGGTGATGTACAAAATTGCCACTTCTTTGCCGGATTCTGTCCCGGTTGCCCCTCTTCCAGGCCAGCTCTCTGCTGTGGCCAGGGAGTGCAGTGGAGGATGGCCCAAGTGCTTGGGCCCTGCACCCCATGGGAGACCAGGAGAAGCACCTGGCTCCTGCCTTCGGATCAGCGCGGTGCGCCAGCTGCAGCGGCGGCCATTGGAGGGTGAACCAACGGCAAAAGGAAGACCTTTCTCTCTCTCTCTCTCTCTCTCACTGTCCACTCTGCCTGTCAAAAAAAAAAAAAATTGCCACTTCTTTTGAAGTCTTTACATTATACTTTTAAGTTGGAAAGCTTGACATGAAATGATGCAGGGATAAATTTCATTAGCAAGAAATTCTGTAGCATAAAGATGACTGGGTAGTTTTAGAAAGGTCCTGGATTTTTTTCAGAAGTTATCAAATGAGGTTGAATAATACCTAATCTCAAGAGCAATGTTAATGAATTATTGAATAATTAGGAGACTTTTTTTCTTTGTTAATGTAATAAATTTGTTCTAATTTACCTTTGTTTGGGGATGTGATGCGTATAGAAATAAATAATCAGTAGCACTTTCTGTGAACAAGCAGATAAACACTTGACCTGCCCTGTGATTGAATCATTAGTTGCTTAGAGGACAAATACCAAAGTTGCTGTCATGTACTTAATTGAATTACATTTCTCTTTCTCTTCTTCCTAACAATATGCTGAAGAAAGTTTAACTTTTTGCAAATTTACTTTTGGTTTTGCTTTTCTTCCCAGTGGCATGGAACATTGTGAGAAATTTGAAATCTCAGAAACTAGTGTGAACAGAGGGCCAGAAAAAATCAGACCAGAATGTTTTGAGCTACTTCGGGTACTTGGTAAAGGGGGCTATGGAAAGGTAGGAAGTGTTTTTGAAATGAGAACTGTTGTGTCTGTTTTGGGGAGATTGATTTTATACCCTGGTTCCTATCATCTGGTCTTTGTTAGCCATAAACAAAGGATAGATATGACCATGACCACTTATGTGATGTGATTTGAGGAACATATGAAGTTCAGTTTTTCCTTTTCCTCCTCCTATCATACATGTAAAAGCCTGGCATTTAATAGGTAGTCAGTGTTTGTTGAATAAATAAATAGGCAACCATGTCAGACCAAGTCTGTTATTAAAAGATTCATTCTTTCCTTTGGTTAAATAGTACCTTGTATAGGTGTTCTCTTTGCAAACAAAAAACTCCTTACTCTCGAGGCATGGCACATTAAGTTGTTGTTACTGAGATCTTAATCTGAATTGGTTTTTGACTTAACAGTATCTGGAGAAATAAGAGTTAGGGAAACTAAAGGAATTTAAGAAGGGAGAAGAAAACTGAAGATAACTTTTTAGTTTTGTAGTTTTGCCTGAAGCTTTCTAACTTAAGACTTTCTGTGTTCTGCCCAAGAAAACTTAATCTTAACTAAGATATTATCTAAATTCTGTCTTTTGATAGAGAATGGCTAAGTATAAAGTTTCTTGGAACTATTTATGCTACTGTATAATGTAAATTTTGCAAAGCATGATATTTGCATTTTATTTTCAGGCTTAAATACACATTCTAATATGTTCTGATCATCTTGAATGTATAATACATGCACTTTGAATCTCACATATTTTAGCAGTTGCATTGAAATATTTAATAACTAGCTATTTAAAGGAATGGATAAATGATAATTTCCTACCAACTATTATTAAATAGTTCTATGTGACACAAGAACAGTGGCACCCCTGGAAGAAATTGATGAAATATTTTATAATTTTTAAGTTTGATTCTCTGTTTCTGGGACTCTAAATATGGTAGACTAGAATTTTGTGCATAGACTAACGCTTTTCATTATACAACCATTGCCCAGTGTTGCCACTAGGTGGCAGAAAACCAGGAAGGTCATGGTGAATAGATTTCATAAGTAGCTGGTAATTTGCACACAGTCCTTCTGGTGCTAGTTTATATAAGATATAAATTACTGTATTGTGAATTTCTTGTAAATAGGTTTAAAGGAATATGACTAACATAGTTGGGCCTTTAATAAGACAAACCTATTTGTTTTTTAAATCTAGGTTTTTCAAGTACGGAAAGTAACAGGAGCAAATACTGGGAAAATATTTGCTATGAAGGTGCTTAAAAAGGTAATTTCTCCCCTCTTTTTTTCCTGCCCCATCGTCTTATTAGTATATATTTTTTTTAATTCTCAGAAAAAATATACATTTCCAATATAATTCCTCCTGGAATATGAACTATGTTCTGTTATTTTTATTCCTGTTTTGTTTCTGCTCAGTGAAGGTGGAAAGAAGAGCACTGTCAGTCTTTCTCTGAGATTACTCTTTTAGTTGTTTCTGGTCTCTGCATTTCTAAATAATAAACATATACTGCTATATTTTAATTCAGTGGTTTTTGAATTATATATTCACTTCCAGTTATGATAGTTAGGGGTTTTAATCTCTCACTCATCCCTCCCTTCTCTCTGTCCTCTCATTTTTAGTTCATTTTCTTTGAATCTACAGTGTTATCCCACAGCTATCAACACCTCTCAGTCTGATGTTCTTTGGTCAGACTTATTAAATAAGCTGCAGTTTCATTGATTTTCCTAGAGATATCCTTTTAGGAACCTTCCATTTACCCGTTCGCGTCTGGGCTGGTGGCTGTCAGCACACAGTCACTGCAGGGCTCTAGCATCGTGACAGTCCTTGCAGTCCTCTTGGCTCCTTCAGCGTTGGATTCTTTGTTTCCTGAATCCCATAGTTTCTTTGTCCTTGTCTTAGTTTATGCTCTTGTTCCCTCATTTGGATAAAAGCTGTGAGAAAGTGTGCATGAAGTTAAAAATTTTTTTCAAAGATCTTATTTATTTGAGAGGCAGAGTTACAGACAGGGAGAGACAGAGAGGGGTCTTTCATTTGCTGGTTCAATCCCCAGATGGCCACAATGGCTGGAGCTGGGCCATAGGAAGCCAGGAGCCAGGAGCCTCTTCCAGGTCTCATGTAGGTGCAGGGGCCCAAGCATTTGGACCATCTTCTATTGCTTTCCCAAGCCATAGTAGAGAGCTGGATTGGAAAAGGAGTAGTCAAACTGGCGCCCATAATACTGTGCCACACACTGGCCCCAAAGATAAATATTTTTAAAAACCATTGCATATTTATAAATTTATTTATTGTACCTTTATACTTGTTTGATTGGGTATGGTTTTGAAGGTGAAATCATTTTGAGTCAGACTTTTGACCCATTTTCTTCTGTATTTTAGAGTTTCTGTTGAGAAATCCCTTGGCATTCTGATTCCTAATCCATTTTACATAGTCTGTTTTTCCTAAACATGATTTTTTTTCCCTCTGTATTTCCAGTGTTCTAAAATTTTGTAATGATACATGTTGCTTTGACTCTTACTACTTTATTTTTACTCTTTTTAGAAAATTTTTACTTTTCATTTTATTTGAAAGGCAGAGATAGAAATAAAGAGAGAGATATCTTAATCTACTGGTTGACTCCCCAGTGCTGAAGCCAGGAGCCCAGAATGCAATCAGGGTCTCCCACATGGGTGGCAGGGACCCAAATTCTTAAGCCATCATCTGCTGCTTTCCAGGTTACACTTTAGCAGGAAGCTGGGTCAGAAGTGGGGGACCTGGGACCTGAATTATGCAATCTATTATGAGTATGGACATCCTAGGTGATTTCTTATCCACTGTGCCAAATGTCTGCCTCATTTTTACTCTTTTTTTTTTTTTAAAGATTTATTTTATTTATTTGAAAGAGTTACAGAGAGAGGTAGAGACAGAGAGAGAGGTCTTCCATCCTCTGGTTCACTCCCTAGATGGCCACAACGGCTGGAGCTGTGCTAATCCGAAGCCAGGAGTCAGGAGCTTCTTCCGGGTCTCCTACGTGGGTGCAGGGGCCCAAGGACTTGGGCCATCTTCTACTGTTTTCCCAGGCCATAGCAGAGAGCTGGATTGGAAGTGGAGCAGCCGGGACTAGAACCAGCACCCATATGGGATGCTTCAGCCCAGGGCTTTAACCCACTGTACCACAGCGCCAGCCCTGATTTTTACTCTTTTAATATTAAAGTTTTCAGTCTTTTAGTTCCAGGAATTTTTTTTTTAAGTTTTTTTTTATTTATTAGTTTGAAAGAGATACAGATAGAGGAAAGAGCAAGAGGTCTCTTTCTCTCTCTGTAACTCTGCCTTCCAAATAAGTAAATAAATCTTAAAGTTTATTTATTTATTTATTTGAAAGGCGGAGTTACAGAGGAAGAGATAGAAAGGTCTTCCATCCACTGGTCATTCCCCAGATGGCTTCAACAGCTGGAGCTGGGCCGATCTGAAGCCAGGAGCTCCAACTGTAACTCCCAAAAGGGTGGCAGGGACTCATGTACTTGGGGCCATCCTCTACTGTCTATATTAGCGTTAGCAGGGAGGTGGATTGAAAGTGGAAGAGCCAGAACTTGAACTGGCACTTCAGTATGGGATGCCAGTGCTGCAGATGCTGACTTCACTTGCTATGCTACAGTGTGAGCACCTCCTTTTTTCCCTCCTCAATCTGTCATGTTTGTGGTTCCCCAGAGCGCCTTGTTGATTTTTCTTTCCATAATATTGTACTTTAAAACTAAAATATCGGCCGGTGCCATGGCTCAATAGGCTAATCCTCCACCTTGCGGCGCTGGCACACCGGGTTCTAGTCCCGGTCGGGGTGCCGGATTCTGTCCCGGTTGCCCCCCTTCCAGGCCAGCTCTCTGCTGTGACCAGGGAGTGCAGTGGAGGATGGCCCAAGTGCTTGGGCCCTGCCCCCGCATGGGAGACCAGGAGAAGCACCTGGCTCCTGGCTTCGGATCGGCGCGGCGGCCATTGGAGGGTGAACCAATGGCAAAAGGAAAACCTTTCTCTCTGTCTCTTTCTCCCACTGTCCACTCTGCCTGTCAAAAAATAAAAAAAATAAAAAAAAACCTAAAATATCTTTCTTTATCCCTCTGAAGGTTTTGTGTGAGTTTTTTTTGTGTTTTTTTTTTTGTTGTTGTTGTTGTTGTTGTTGTTTTTTAAGATTTGTTTATTTGAGGGGCTGGCATTGTGGCATAGTGGATAAAGCTGCTACCTGCGATGCCAGCATCCCATATGAGTGCCAGTTAAAGATCTGGCCGCTCTACTTCCAATCCAACTCCCTGCCAATGTGCCTGGGAAAGCAGTGGAAGATGGCTCATGTGCTTGGGAACCTGCACTCACTGGAGAGACCAAGAAGAAGCTCCAACTTCTGGCAGTTGTGACCATTTGGGGAGTGAACCAGCAGATAGAAGATTTTTCTGTCTTTCCCTCTCTCTCTGTCACTCTGCTTTTAAAAAAAAGATTTATCTATTTGAAAGGTAGAGAGACAGAGACAGAGATCTTCCATCTTCTGGTTCACTCCCTCCCTGGTGAAGTAACCTTTTTTCATATTTCACTTTATTCTGAATTTAGGCGAGTCAGTGTACTGCGGCACTTCACTCGGTTGCTATTCCCATTGAGCTTATGTCCAGGACAGTCCTAATCTGAATCAGTTCCTTTATTCCTGTTCCTCATCTACTGAGCCTTACTGACAAAAATCACATAAACCAGTGGATTGCTGCTGGACAGAATTCATGATCTTCAACTCAGGTGGACTGTCAGTACTCCCCCACAGCTTCCCACAGGTCCTCAGACTGTTCCTCTTCTCTGCAACTTTTAGAACCTTTACTTTCAGTCCCTCCACTCTTTTAGCCCACTGTCTGTCTTCCTATTTGAGATTATCCAATTTGGTTTCCTTCAGCATCCTGTTCTAGTCCTTACCCCAGCACCATATTAATCTGTTTCCACCTGTCCATCCTTCATGGCCTCCAGTTTTAGGGGAAAATGTGTTCTTCCTTTTTGAGACTGAGCCCTCTGTCTTCTGGATACCATCGCTTTCTGTCTGTTCCGGGACTTCACTGTCTCTTATCTTCAATTTTCCATCTTCTATCCCGACTCCCTTCCGCCCTCCCTTCCTTGTTCTCTCTTTCCCTTCTTTTCTTCTTTCCTAGGTGTATATGTATTTATTTGAAAGGCAGAGAAAGAGAGGGAAAGACCGCGATCTCTGCAAACATCGTCTGCTTTCTGGGGTACGTTAGTGGGAAGCTGGATCAGCACTCTCATGTGGGATGTGGCTTGACATGCTGTGCCCTAAGGGTGGCCCCTGACTTCTTTCTTTCTGTAACTGTATTCGTGTCTCTGCTGTATTTAGCTAAACAAAACCTTCTTTGGCTTCAAGGCTTCCTGTAGCTACTGTAATGTTCGTCTCTTCACAGCTGAAATCTTGAGTAGAGTCCATCTTCCTGTCTTCTGTCTCATGTTGTATTCTTTTTTCACTCACAGCTCTACTGTTTCAGTGACATTCGTAACTCCTAAGTCATCACCAACTTCCCAAATACTGAGTCCAGTGGTCTTCGCTTATAGTTAGCTTATCCTTAATTTAATCCTCTCTGTTGTTTTAAAACTATTGGCCACAACATTCTGAAGCTGGTTTCTTGACTGCTGTGATTCTACTTTTTTACTTTAGTCTCTCCCTTCTCAGGTCTCCTCACAATTGTTTATTTGAATAATTCCAACCTCCTGAGCAGTTCAAAAGTAATATATCTGAACATTTTCAAGCTTTCCAAAGATCTGCATAGTGTTAAGTTCATCATTTGTTAATGTTCTGCTATATTTTCCTTGTTGGCCCCTTTTTGCCCCCATATATATATATTCAGCTTTTTTTTTTTTAATTTATTTTGACAGGAAGAGCTATAGACAGTGAGACAGAGAGAAAGGTCTTCCTTCCGTTGGTTCACTCCCCAAATGGCCGCTACAGCCAGCGCTACACCGATCCAGAGCCAGGAGCCAAGTGCTTCCTCCTGGTCTCCCACACGGGTGCAGGGACCCAAGGACTTGGGCCATCCTCCAGTGCCCTCCCAGGCCACAGCAGAGAGCTGGACTGGAAGAGAAGCAACCGGGACTAGAACCCGGCATCCACATGGGATGCTGGCACCACAGGCAGAGGGTTAACCAAGTGAGCCATGGCGCCGGCCCCTATATTTAGTTTTTAAATTTAATTACATTTTCTCCTATGCAGTTTGAGAGTCAGTTATGGACAGCATAACACTTCAATCTTAAATTCTTATTTATTTATTTGAAGGCAGAGGCAGAGAGAGACAGAGAGAGAAAGAGAGAAATCCAGTGGTTCACTCCCCAGATGGCCCCAATGGCCAGAGCTGAGCAGATCTGAAGCCAGGAGCCAGGAGCTTCTTCTGGGTCTCCCAGGCGAGTACAGGGGCCCAAGGACTTGGGCCATCTTCTACTGTTTTCCCAGGCTATAGCAGAGAGCTGGATGGGAAGTGGAGCACCCGGGACTCGATCTGGTGCCCATATGGGATGCTGGCACTGCAAGCGGCAGCTTTACCTGATACACCACAGTGCTGGCCCCAAGGATGTATCTTTTATAATAAGGGCATTTTTATGATTGTAGAATAAATATCATATATGGGAAATCTAGCATATATATATATGTGTGTGTGTGTGTGTATAAAAAATACTGTTTTCTGATATATTATAGTCTAAATTGAGATTTTTCCAGTTGCCTCAATATCCTTTATAGCTGCTTTGTTTTTACTATATAGGACTTAATCAGGGGGTACATATTATGTTGAAGTTTTGGCTTTTTTTTTTTTTTTTTTTTAAGATTTATTTATTTATTTGAAAGAGAAAGAAGAAAGAGACCTTCCATCCGCTGGTTCAGTCCCCAGAGGGCCACAATTGCTGGAGCTGGGCCAGGCTGGAACCAGGAGCCAGGAGCTTCTTCTGAGTCTCCTCCGTGGTTGGCAGGGGCCCAAGTACTTGGGCCATCTTTTACTACTTTTCCCAGGCCATTAGCATGGAGCTGGATTAGAAGTGGAGCAGCAAGGACTCAAACCAGTGCCTCTGTGTTGAATTTTCTGTCTCTTCAGTTTATTATAAAGTCACTTCCCATCTTTTTTTAAATCTTTCATGACGTTGACATTTTTTGAACCCAGATTGTTTTTTGGCATAATATCTTAATTTAGATTTGTTTTTCTTTCTTTTTCTAACTTGCTTTTTGTTGTCTCCTTGTGAGACAAAACCTGGGGCCAGCGTTGTGGCATAGCAGGTAGCACTGTCGCCTGCAATGCCAGAATTCCATATGTACGCTGGTTCATATCCCGACTGTTCCACTTCCAGTCTGGCTCCCTGCCAATGGCCTGGGAAAGCAGCAGAAGATGGCCTGAGTCCTTGGGCCCCTGCCACCCATGTGGGAGATCCGGAGGAGGCTCCTGACTCCTGGCTTCGGATTGGTGCAGCGCTGGCCGTTGCGGCCATCTGGGGAGTGAACCAGCAGATGGAGGGCCTCTCTCTCTGTCTCTACCTCTCTGTGTAACTCTGTCTTTCAAATAAATAAAATAAATCTTTAAAAAAATAAAAAAGATTTATTTATTTCGAAAGCATAGTTAGAGGGTGGGAAGGAGGGAGAGAGGAAGCGACAGATCTTCCAGCCACTGGTTCACTCTCCAAATGGCCAGGGCTGGGCCAGGCTGAAGGTAGGAACTAAGCCCTTCATCTGGTCTCCCAGTGGGTGCAGGAGCCCAAGTACTTGGGCTACCTTAGGCTGCTTTCCCAGGTGTGTTATTGGGAGCTGGATCAGAAGTGGAACAGTGAAATGCCAGTGTAGCAGACAGCAGGCTTAACCTGCTGCACCAGAACTCTGACCCCAGTTTAAGATTTCTCTCTCTTCGTGGTGTTTTTTTTTTTTTTTTTAATGTTCACTTTTAGGTCACTATGGGTGTAAAGACTGAAAGTTACTTATATATCTTTTTTCTCCTTCTGCGGTGTAGTTATCAATATGATACTCTGTGAAATTTATATGTTTCTATTGTAATCAGTTTTATTTTCCACCCCTGTCTTTTTTTTTAGTCTTTTATTTTTATTTATTTATTTTTATTTTTGACAGGCAGAGTGGACAGAGAGAGAGACAGAGAGAAAGGTCTTCCTTTTTGCTGTTGGTTCACCCTCCAATGGCTGCCACAGCCGGCGCGCTGCGGCTGGCGCACCACGCTGATCCGAAGGCAGGAGCCAGGTGCTTCTCCTGGTCTCCCATGGGGTGCAGGGCCCAAGCACTTGGGCCATCCTCCACTGCACTCCCTGGCCACAGCAGAGAGCTGGCCTGGAAGAGGGGCAACCGGGACAGAATCCGGCGCCCTGACCAGGACTAGAACCCGGTGTGCCGGCGCCGCAAGGCGTAGGATTAGCCTATTGAGCCACGGCGCCAGCCCCACCCCTGTCTTTATTGCTTTTGTTCTATTTTTACAGTGTAAAACATTAATGTGGTTCATAAACCAGAATCTCCATTTTATAGATGCAATATTAGCTAAGAAAAAAATGAATGACAAAACCATTGAAGTTTTTACTTGTTGTATAGGTTCTGTAGGTTTTAGCCATTATCTTATTTATGGGTATTTCATTTCTTTGCAGTATTTCACTTTTTTTTTTCAGTGTTTCAGTTTTACAGATAATGTGTACTTCTTTTTTTTTTTTTAAAGATTTATTTATTTATTTGAAAGGCAGAGTTACAGAGAGGCAGAGAGAGAGAGAGGTCTTGCATCGGCTGGTTCACTCCCAGATGGCCACCAATGGCCGGAGCTGCGCAGATCCAAAGCCAGAAGCCAGGAGCTTCTTCCAACTCTCCCATGTGGGTGCAGAGTCCCCAGGAGTTGGGCCATCTTCTACTGCCATCCCAGGCCACAGTAGAGAGCTGGATCGGAGGAGGAGCAGCTGGGACTAGAACCAGCGCCCATATGGGATGCCGGTGTTTCAGTCCAGGGTGTTAACCCGCTGTGCCACAGTGTCAGCCCCAGATAATGTGTACTTTTTTTAAGGTTTATTTATTTGAAAGACAGAGTTACAGAGAGACAGAGAGACAGAGGTGGAGAAAGGGAGAGAGAAATCTTCTATCTGCTGGTTCACTACCCAAATGACCGCAATGGGTCCAGGAGCCAGGAACTTCATCTGAGTCTCCCATGTGGGTGCAGGGGCTCAAGTATTTGGGCCATCTTCCACTGCTTTCCCAGGCACATTAGCAAATAGTTGGATCAAAAGTTGAGCAACTGGTACTCGAACCAGGAGCCATATGGGATGCTTGATGCTGGCACTGCAAACAGCAGCTTTACCTGCTGTGCCATGGTGCCAGCCCCACAGATAATGTTGCAAATAATAACCCTGTGTATTTGCTTTTCATAATACTAGGTGTGTACATTGGGGTAACTTCCTGGAACTTAGACTTAGGCATGTCCAAAATAATTCATCTTTTCTCCCAAAAATTTTTTCTTACATTTCATGTTGTTGAAGGATAGCATTGTTTGATTACTTAAGGAGAAATCAGAGTATCATCATTCTTCTTATAGCTAGTAAGTCAGTAATTAACATTTTCTTTGTGCTTTCATTTTCTTAGTTACAAGTCTCAAGAGGAGTTTAGTTTACTGTTGTAATTGCATTTCTTCTCTGAAACTCCACACTGCTGCTAGAACTGTTGTTCTTAAACTCAAAGATTATTCATTTCACTTATCTGAGCATTTCTTCTTTCCAACATATTTGCCAAGATGGCCAGGAAATAGAAGGCGATTTTTCCAGCCTAATTTCTAACCACCATAACCATACTGAAATCCTGGGAGACTCCTCAGACATGTCCTGTTCTCCCAGGCTTCATTGACATTGGAATGCCTTTTGTTTAACCTTCTGCTTTTGTTTAACATCTGCATAATTTTTCATGGTGCACCTTAGGTAGCACCACGTCCAGAAAGACTTCTTTTTAGGTCAAATGGAATCCCCCATTCACCCACAGTGCCTTGTGCTTACCTCTATTGACTTGTCTTTTTCCTCTGAGACTTTGGGCTCCTATAGACAAGGCATTTCTTGTGTTAGTTCTGCTTTGTTGGCACAGAGCCTGGAGCATAGTAGACACTTAACTTAAACTTGATTTGTTTACAGATTCTTAAAATGTTGTATCTGTAGGTTTTCATTTATCTATTCACTGCAAAAAAATTCAAATAGTACAAATACGTATAAGAAATGAATGTATTCCATTATTTCATCAGAGTTTCTAGTGGGAACTATTCTGTATTGACAGGACAAGCACAATATAGATATTCCAGTTACTATAGCATTAAAATGTTCACTATTTTGTTCTTATAGATCATCTCTTTTCCTTTAGGCAATGATAGTAAGAAATGCTAAGGATACAGCTCATACAAAAGCAGAACGGAATATTCTGGAGGAAGTAAAGCATCCCTTCATTGTGGATTTAATTTATGCCTTTCAGACCGGTGGAAAACTCTACCTCATCCTTGAGTATCTCAGTGGTCAGTACACAGTTTGGTATAATTATTTGCAGTTGTTCCAGAAACTGAGTCAAAACTTTATTTTCCAGTGGAAAAATGCTTTATCTCATTGGGATCAAATAGTTCTTGAAATTGATGAATACATTAAAGTGAAGAACTCAGATGTGACCAGATGTTTCTATTTTGCACACAGATGAAATAAAAGAAACTTAAAAGTTCAGTGTTTTCCCATCTGTGAAATTTTATTTTAATCTCTTTATAATCAGTCACTAAACAAAAAAAAAAACACCTAATTGATACAGAGCTGTCAAATTGTACAAGGATAGGGTTGTATAATTCAGATGAACCATTACTGTATTCGTTTCTAAACTGAAATGGAAGAACTTACTGAGAATATTGTTTTAAAATACTGAATATTTTTAAAGTTGCATCTTTAAATAGAAATTTTTTAAAGGTTTATTTATTTATTTGAATGGTAGAGAGAGAGAGATCTTCCATCTCCTGGTTCTCTCCCCAGATGGCTGCAATAGCCTGGTCCTGACCAAAGCCAGGGTCTCCTGCATGGGTGGCAGGAGGCCATGCCCTTGGACCATCTTCCATTGCTTTCCTAGGCATATTAGCAGAGAGCTGGATTGGAAGTGGGATGGCTGGGACAGGAACTGGAGCTCATATGGGATGCTGGTGTAGCAGGTGGTGACTTAACCTATGCCACAATACTAGACCCATAAATAGAAAAAATTTTTAGTGCAGTGTAGCCTTAGTGACAGAGTATACAGTTTGCATTGGAAATCATCTGGTTTCCAAGGCCTACCATCACCTAGGAACTTTTTGCTTCACATATCATTTCTAGAGCATAGGTGTCTGATTCCAGCAAATACACTTCGGTTTTCTAAGAAACAGATTTTTGCAATAATTTGGAACTTGGAACAAAAGCTGCAGAATTTAGCAACTTTTTTTTAAAGGTTTATTTATTTGAAAGGCAGAATTACAGAGAGAGGGAGAGAGAGAAAGAGGGAGAGAGAGATTCTGTCTGCTGGTTCACTCTCCAAATGTCCACAACAGCCAGGGCTGGGCCATGCCAAAGCCAGGAGCCAGGAGCTTCTTCCAGGTCACCCTATGTGGGTGCAGGGACCCAAGGACATGGGCCATCCTCTGCTGCCTTCCCAGGCACATTAGCAGGGAGCTGGATCAGAAGTAGAGCAGCTAAAACTCAAACTAGCATCCATATGAGATGCTGGCATGCAGATGGCTGCTTAACTCTTTGCACTACAACAGCGAACCCTAGCAACTTTTTTTTTCTTTAATATTTTCTTTATTTATTTGAGAGGCAGAGTCATAAAGAGAGGAAGAGACAAAAAGAGAAAAGTCCTCCATCCACTGGTCCACTCCCCTAATAGCTGAATGGCTGGAGCTGGGCTGATCAGAAGCAATGAGCCAGGAGCCTCCTCTGGGTCTCTCACATGGGCATAGGAGCTCAAGGACTTGGGCCATCCTCCACTGCTTTCCCAGACCATAGCAGAGAGCTGGATTGGAAGTGGAGCAGCAATGTCTTGAACCTGCGCCCATATGGTATGTGGGCACTGCAGGTGACAGCTTTACCTTCTATACCACAACACTAGCTCCCCCTAGCAACTTTTAAAAAGTGGCTATTGCCATTTTTTTCGTATGGCTTTTCACAATGGTTCTTTATCTGAGAGGCAGAGAGCCAGCAAGAGTGAGTGTGAGCAAATGTGAGTACTCTCATCTACTAGTTCACTTCCTAAATTCTTATAATATTCTGGGAAGAGCTTGAAGCCAGGAGCCTGAAACTCTATCCAGGTTTCTCACCTGAGTGGCAGGAACATAATTACTTGAACCATCATCACTGTCTCCCAGGGCCTGGATTAGTAGGAAGCTAAGAGTTAGGAACCAGAGCTGAGCATTCAGCCCAAGTATATCATTGTGAGACATGAGCATCTTAACTAGTCTTAACAACTAAGCTAAGCACCTGCCCTTCTTGTAACTTTATTTTGACATTATTTCAGACTTACACAGAGCAGGTAAGCAGTGATTAGGAGGCCCATATCTCAGATGGAATGGCTGGGTCTGGCTCCTAATTCCACCTTCCTGCTAGTACAGAGCCTGGGAGGCAGTAGTGATGGCTGGAGTAATCGGGTTCTTGCCACCCAAATGGGAAATCTGGATTGAGTCCCTGGCTCACCACCTGCTCCCACCCTACTGCTTAGCCCTGTTACCCATTACATTTGAGGAGTGAGACAGTAGAAGATGAGAGTTCTCTCTTCCTCTATTTTTTTTTTTAACTCACTCTGTCTCTTAAATAAAACAAATACTTTTAAAAAAAGAATTCCCTTAATTTTGTCACCTGGAGTCCCTAAATACTATCATTTTACCATATATGATTAGTTTATACATCGTTCTATATGTATCTGTATAAATGCACATATATACACACACATATACCTGTATGTATACAGATGTGTGATTTTTTTTTTTATTTTTTTGAACTGTTTGAGAGTATTACAGACATGATTTGCCTTCATCCCTAAAACTGCAGGGTTTATTTTCTAAAATCAAGGGCAGTGTCTTATATAACTACTAATTTACCTAAAATGGGGAATTAACATTGATACAGTAATCTCTCTCCTTAGTTTCTTTTAATCTTTAATCTGAATAGTACTTCAGTCTTTCTTTTTCTTTAACGATGTTGGTAATCTTGAAGAGTACAGGCTGGTGGTTTTGTGGAATGCCTCAATTTAGGTTTATCCAGTTCTTTAGGATTGGATTCAAGGTATGTGTTTTGGCAGGACTATTGAAGTGACGTTGTGTCCTCAGTGCCTGAGATCAGGAGATACATGACATTGATATCTTTGTCCCGTTAGTGGTAAAAGTCACTTTGGTCATGTGTATAAGATTGGTGTCTTCTGTTTTTTTTTTTTTTTTTTTTTCCAGGTAGAGTTTTCTCTTTGTAATCAATAAGCATCTTTTAACAATAAATATTTCATCTTTCATCAAGCTTTCATATTCAGTTTTGGTATCCATTGATTCTTGCCTGCAGTAATTGTGATGTTTGCCAAATGATGTTTCCTATTTTATTTTGCCCCCTTCATTTATCACATAGCACTCTACTGTTATGAAGAACTTTCACTTCTCCATTTAAAAAATTTATTCATTTATTTACCTTATTGTGGACTTTCGGGTTCTAAGATTATTCAGTGTATATAATCCTTTATTATCATTATTTTGATATGTATTTGTGCCATTCTTTTTACAAGGCCTCTGCCAGGTTCATTCAGTTTTTTAAGGGTTCTGAAAATACGGAATATTAGCATTCACTAAAGTTATTGAAGATAGTTTAATTTATATTAACATTTTTCTGCCTATAGGTAAAATGTTAGATTTCAGTCAAGTTTTTTTATTTTTTTTAAACCTCAAGTCTGGAATCCACACACACTTTCAAGGTTGTAGATGTAAATTCCAAATTATTTCTAGTTTTTAAACTTAAAAGTTTCACAGAGGAATCAGAATTCTGCTAAAAATAGAGACCTGGGGACTTAGTTTGAAAATGTATGCTTTAGGATTGTTTTTATGTCTTAGGGACTGTCTTTTGTTTTTAATTAATTTATTTAAAGGGCAATGTGGCACAGACCCTCAAAAGGAGAGACAGAGACAGAGACAGAGAGATCTTCTATCTTCTGGTTCACACTCCTCAAATGCCTGCAACAGCAGGGGGTGGGCCAGACTGAAACCATGAGCCAGGAACTCCATCTGACTTCCCCACTTGGGTAGCAGGAGACCCCCCCAGGACATGGGCCATCCTCTACTGCCTTCCCAGGTGCATGAGCAGGGAGCTGGATCAGAACCAGCACTTCTGTATGGATGCCAGTGTTGCAAGCAGCTGCTTAACCTGCTGTGCCCCAATGCTTGCCCAAAGGGCTTATGTCTCTAATTACAGTTAGAAGGAAAGCACAAACTCATTAGAACTGGATTGGAAATAAAGATTCTTTTATTTCTCATGTCTTGTCTTTACAGGAGGAGAATTATTTATGCAGTTAGAAAGAGAGGGAATATTTATGGAAGATACAGCCTGGTAAGTGAGATTTTTATCGTTCATAGATTTAAGTAATATCTCATATAATTAAAAGAAAGCCTCATTTCCCACTGTGGGCAGCCAAATGATTCAGTAAATTGGTCTGGAGTCAGGGGAGAAGCAACTTTGGGACTGGGCCACTATTGGAGGTCACATCATTCCTTTGCTCCCAGGCCTTGGGTGGACGGCTCTTCACACCAGGTGTTCCTAACAGAACCATTCTCATTGCGACTTTGTTTCCTTGAATTGGTAAGCTGCCTGCCTTGGCTGTGGGTATGTGTGGTTTTCCAGTGAAGCTTTATATGTGGAACAGTGGAAAGTCTAAGAAATCATCTCCTTCTTTTTAGACTTTCCAGTTCCCAAGGTGCAATCTTAGGGAGCTGATAAACCTGCATATATCATCTGTGGATTGATTATTTAGCCAGGATGGGATCTACCTCTTATTCTGTAAGATCGCATCTGCTTCAAATTAAAAATATACACAATCCTTTTGTGAAGTGACAGCAATGGGTAACAAATGAGTTTATCCTACACATTAATTGAATAGAAAGCAACACGTAAATGTTTGTTCTACCTTAATTACCAAACTGCATTCCATTGTTTAATTTCAGGCCTTTTCTAACACAGAAGCTGCATTTAAGAGCCTTAGGGATGGAGTGCCCTTTTATGGAGGAGGCTCTCTGAGCTATGTTGGAGGCTGTGTTTGTGGTCCTGCTGGCTGTGAAACTGCCTCAGTCCTCTAGGATACACCCTGTCCATCCTGGAGTAATCTGCAGGATTGCAACATTGTTATGCAGCCAGTATTGCAGTGCCCTGTGCTTTTCGAATCCAGACAGGGTTGATTCAGCCCTTTATTCTTTGGAGGTAGATAAATTTGAGTGTCACACAGTTTATAGTTGTGGGCTGGCTGGCAAGAGGGAGGGCAGATACTGTGGGCATAGCTGTTTATAAGTATGCAGCTATATTAAGTAAGGGAGGAGTGGGCTTCTGAGGGTCAGGTTATGAGGAATGTTTGGAAATCAAGACTTGATCTCTAAGAATAACCAAGTTCCTGTTTCCTGTTGGATTTTTAAATTGGGGGTTGGTGGGAGAAATTTCATTTGATCTAAATGACAGTTGGCCTAATTCCTACACAGAACAAAATGCCACCAGTGAGCATTTAGCATATTCTGGGCATCTCTGCAACCTTATCAGTATGTTCTAATGGCAAAATAGAACATTTTATAGTTTCACTAAAAGCAGTGAAATGTAAATGTCCCCATGCCGTTTGGCAGCATTCTGAACCATTTCTTTTCCCCATACATCCCCTCACCCCACTAATTTGGACTTTGGTGCATGTCTGTTTCTTTCAAGGAATTTTGCTCCATACATAAACTGCTTTGGGTAGTTTACTTGTTTTAATTTTATTAAATCATTTTTGTTTCCAGCTTTTACTTGGCAGAAATCTCCATGGCTTTGGGGCATTTACATCAAAAGGGGATCATCTACAGAGACCTGAAGCCGGAGAATATCATGCTTAATCACCAAGGTGGAGATATACTGTAAACATTTTTATAGTAAATAATAATCTTAAAATCCTCGCACACAGGCTGTGGCCATTTTCAAAGCCCCATATTCATCTCTATTATTATACATTTCCTCCCTCAGTATTAATGGCATCATAATACTTGCTGGTGTTTAAGTATTATAGTTGCTGAGATTAAAGGAGTTGAGGATAATAGCCACTCAACTGCCTTTTTCAGTTTAATCCTTATTCTTTATAGCTTTTCTTTGCCTTTTTTTTAAGTCTTTGCACAAAATATTATGGACCAAAAGCCAATTGAAACATTATTTTGATTTGTTTCTTAAATTGAAAAGTGAATCTTAATGGAATTTTATTGACAATGCACAAATATTTTATGACAAATTTTACTAATGTTGAAAAAAGGGAAAGGATTGGAATTGAGCCAGATATCTGATATAGCCTTGGAAATAAAATATTTAGTGGACATCAATTTATTCTTGCTGTCTGGTTCATTGTTTCTCCTTTCTATCACCACCTTCCCTGAAAAGCTAGATTCTGATTCTGAATTCTAAAGCAAAGAATTAGGAGACGGATAGAATAGAAAACAACTTCTTTGATCCATAAGTTTGAGTAATTTAGGTGTTTATTTGACAATGAAAGACATATGTATCAGAGTATAGTATGTATTTACATTTCAATTAATAAGTTATTGCCTTTTCTTTTCTCTGCAATGAATCTGAGTCCCTAGGGTTGTTGAACCACTGGTTAATAACAGTTCAGTAAAGCTGAACTTGAATTGAAATGATCTTTGTGGAAGGTGATGAAAGTTTCAGTTTCTGGATCTGAGATGATTAACCCATGCCAATTTCAGTTCCTTCTCTTAACTGGTAGCACTTGCCAGAAGAGGCTAACTTGTTACAGTGACTTTCTAAGATCATTTTAAGAACTTTTAAGTCACAGTTTACTGTGATAAAGGCTATTTAAAGTGTAGTGTCACACTTTTGTTGAAACAGTGCAGCATATGTTTATTAGGGTCTGTGACTTGAGCCAGACTTAATAAAGATTTTTCCCTAGGACTTTGCTTTCTCAGAGTGGTAGACGATTCTCCGTAAAGCTATGGATAGGTGAAGCTAGGGGCTTAGACAAATGGATTAACTTTCTTCTGTTTTGTCTTTATCATCATTTATCATTTATATTGTTGGCAAAAGGTGATTCTACCCTAGCCTTCAAGTGTTAGCATTCCATTTTATGGATGGCACCTTGTTAGTTCTTGATATCTGCAAGAAGAGTTTAAGGCAGGAAACACTGAATAGAAGGATAGATTATTGTTTTATGTGATATGCTCAAATACTGCACATACTTAGAACTCTTGGAATAATCATGCTATAATCTTTTCATTGTAGGTCATGTGAAACTAACAGACTTTGGACTATGCAAAGAATCCATTCATGATGGAACAGTCACACACACATTTTGCGGAACAATAGAATACATGTGAGCTGAGTGTTAAATGTAACTGGTTTGGGATTGATAGCTAACCTTTACCTAGTTTAATAATAGTGTCTAAGTTTTCTGTAGCATCAGTGACTCCATCTATTTTTTTAATTTTCAGATATATAAATGGTTGAATTTTATGCATGCTATTTTTCTCATTGTAGGGCCCCTGAAATCTTGATGAGAAGTGGCCACAATCGTGCCGTGGATTGGTGGAGTTTGGGAGCATTAATGTATGACATGCTGACTGGAGCAGTAGGTGCACAGTTAAAAGCTGCATGTATTATGGTCTTGTGCTGAGTAGTTTTCAAATCATTATCACAGGAGGCCATTCCTGTACTTTTTGAAAATGTGGAATTATTTTCAAGCCTAAAAATTTATCAGCAGTTTAATTCTAATAATGCCTTATGATTATATAGGATCCATCCTTTTATTTATTTTTTAAAGATTTATTTGAAAGGCAGAGAGGCAGAGAGAAAGAGAGGTCTCTTATCCGCTGGTTCACTCCCCAGATGCCTGCAATGGCTGGAGCTGTGCCTGTCTGAAACCAGGAGCCTGGAGCTTCCTCTGGGTCTCTCATGTGGATGCAGGGGCCCAAGGACTTAGACCATCTTCTGCTTTCCCAGGCCATAGCAGAGAGCTGGATTGGAAGTGGAGCAGCCAGGACACGAACCATCGCCCATATAGGATGCTGGCATTGCAGACAGCAGCTTTATCCTCTATGCCACAGCACCGGCCTCTTGGGGGTCCATCCTTTAAAAAACATTTTTATTTTATTTTATTTTATTTTTTATTTATTTTTATTTTTATTTTATTTTATATGTCGGGACTGGTGTTTTGACTTGTAAGTTAAACTACTGCCTGTGACACTGGCATTCTATATGGACGCCAGTTTGAGTCCCATCTGCTCTATTTCCATTCCAGCTCCCTGCTAATGTGCCTGAGAAAGCAGTGGAAGATGGCCTAACTGCTTGGGCATCTGCACCCATGTGGAAACCTGGAAGAAGCTCCTGCCTCCAGCCTGGCCCAGCCCTGGCCTTTGTAGCCATTCTGGGAGTGAGCCAGTGAATGGAGGATCTGTCTGTCTCTCCCTCTCTCTTTTTGTACCTCTGCCTTTCAAATAAATAAATGATCTATGTAATGGCAGTCCTGTGAAAGAGATGTAGGTTAGATAATGTCCTCACTTTATAAATAGAGAGATCAAAACATAAAATCACATGCTTTGCCAAGTATCACACAAGTGACTGGTGAAAACTCAGGCTTCATTCCAGGTCATTGCTGAACTCCTCTGTGATGCTTCTTGAAAACTACAGGTCTTCAGTAGTCAGCCCATTTCACTGCATACATTTCTGACCACCTTGCATAATTGACTAATTCAGAAAATGGATGATATTCTTTAAAATGTTTTTATATGCTAATTTAATCTCTTTTCTACCCTTAGCCCCCATTCACTGGGGAGAATAGAAAGAAAACAATTGACAAAATCCTCAAATGTAAACTCAATTTGCCTCCCTACCTCACACAAGAAGCCAGAGATCTGCTTAAAAAGGTAGTTTTTTAATGGGTACTCGAAATATAAGTCTCAATAACTAATTTTAACTGGGTAGAATCTAACATTTTGAATAAAGAATCATACAAGGTATTGAACAAATAAAGCATGCAGTTTATGAAGGCATAGTACCAATTTGTTTAAAGATTTTTTCTTTTTATTTTCAGACTATTTAGTAGTAACTGATAAATTACATTTTCTAAAGGTAATATAAATGAACAAATTATACAAAGGGAAAAAATAAATATGATTGAAGTTCTTTATCAATACTTTATTTGTTTCCCCCTTAAGCTGCTGAAAAGAAACGCTGCTTCACGTCTTGGAGCTGGTCCTGGGGATGCTGGAGAAGTTCAAGTAGGGATTGACATATTTGGTGTTCTGGGAAAAGACTGCTTATTTTGCTTATTTTGTGTTTGTCAGGGTTGTATGTAGTTGCTTATAAGTTTAGCTGATTTTGTGATTTGTCACTTCAAACAGTTAATTTGTCATCCCAGTAAAATCTGTTCTCCTTGTCTTTCTCTATTCTTTTTTCTAGGCTCACCCATTCTTCAGACACATTAATTGGGAAGAACTTCTAGCTCGAAAGGTGGAGCCGCCCTTTAAACCTCTGTTGGTATGTATCCATGAAAACAGATAAAATTGAGGGACTTTGTGCTTTTCTAGAAAAAGAAAAACCTTAGAGCAGTTTGAAACATATTTTTAAATTCAAAGAACTTTGGTCTTCTCTTTAGAATCTTTATTTGGTATTTTGTTTACAAGAATTAATGCCAGTGGTGACTGATGACTATATTAGCTATTATTTCAAGAAGTTGAGAATTTTTTTCCCCTAATTTAACCGACTGTAAACTTGATTCTCTGGGAATTTTTTGTTCAAAATGTAGGATATATGTGTAATTTGCTAGGCCTGCTATATCAAAGTACCACATACTGAGTGGCTTAAGTAATAGAAATATATTTTCTCAGATCTGTAAGCTAGAAGTCTAAGATTAAGTTGGCGGGATTGGTTACTTTTTTTCCTTAAAGGTTTATTTTATTTATTTGAAAAGCAGAGAGAGGGGAGGGAGGGAGGGAACAAGGGAGGGAAAGAGAGAGAGAGAGAGAAACAGATTTTCCATCCATAGGTTCATTCCCCAAAAGGTTGCAATGATTGGCGCTGGGCCAGGCTGGAGCCAGGAGCTTTATTCAGGTCTCTCAAGTGGGTGCAGGGGCCCAAACACTTGGGCCATCCTTTGCTGCTTTCCCAGTTGCACTAGCAAGGAGCTGGATCAGATGTAGAGTAGCCAGGACTTGAACTGGTGCCCATATGGGGTGCCAGTGCTGCAGGCAGCAGCTTTACCTGCTTTGCCACAGCACTGGCCCCAGATTGGTTGTTTCTGAGGACTGTGACAGAGACTAAGTTCCATGCCGTTCCCCTAGTTTCTGATGATTTGCTGGCAATTTTTACCTATCTTTGGGTTATAGATATATCACCTGGATATCTGTTTTTATGTTTATTTGTGCTCAAACTTACTCCTCCCTTTTTAAAAATAAATTTATTAATTATTTTTTAAGGAAGACAAATTTCATAAGTACACTTTAGGAATATAGTTATTCTTCCCACCATACCTCCTCCCTCTCCCCTTCCCAGTCCCATTCTCCATTAAGATTCATTTTCAGTTAACTTAGTACACAGAAGACCAACTCTATGCCAAGTAAAGATTTCAACAATTTGCACACACACATACACAAAGAAACTGAGAACTAAATTTACAGTTAACTCTCATAATACAACTCATTGAGGAGTTGTATGCATGGGGAGTTAGTGCACAGTGACTCCTATTGTTAACAATTAACACTTTTGTATATGAAGTCAGTGGTCAGTGACCATATGAGGCTCTTGACATGAGTTGCCTAGGCTATGGAAGCCTTTTGAATCCACAAACTCCGTCAGTAGTTAGATAAGCCCATAAGCAAGGTGGAAGTTTTTTCCTCCCTTTAAAAAAAAAGTACATCCTCAGCTGGCACCATGGCTCAATTGGCTAATCCTCCACCTGCAGCGCCAGCACCCCGGGTTCTAGTCCCGGTTGCCCCTCTTCCAGTTCAGCTCTCTGCTGTGGCCCAGGAAGGCAGTGGAGGATGGTCCAAGTGCTTGGGCCCTGCACCCGCATGGGAGACCAGGAGGAAGCACCTGGCTCCTGGCTTCGGATTGGTGCAGCACACCTGCCGTAGCGGCTTTTTGGGGGGTGAATCAATGGAAGGAAGACCTTTCTCTCTGTCTCTCTCTCACTGTCCAACTCTGCCTGTCAAAAAAAAAAAAAAAAAAAAATCCTCCTTTGATGGCCACTTCTTTCTGCTGGGATCTCACTCAGAGATCCTTCATGTAGAACATTTATTGCCACAGTGTCTTGGCTTTCCATGCCTGAAATGTTCTCATAGGCTTTTCAGCCAGACCAGGAAGCCTTAAGGGTTGATTCTGAAGTCAGAATGTTATTTAAGTGATTATCATTCTATGAGTCTGCTATGTGGACTGCTTCCCATGTTGGAACTCCCTCACCCCCTTTTTATAAAATTCTTTATTTAAAAGGCAGCTAGAGAGTGTGTCCCCATTTCTGGTTCATTTTCCAAATGGTGGCAACAGCCAGGGCTGGGCTAGGCTGAAGACAGGAGTCAGGAACTCATCCCCGGTTTTCCATGTGGATGGCAGGAACTCTACTGCTTGAATCTGCTGCCTCTCAGGGTGTACATTAGCAGGCAGTTGGGATTGGGAGCAGAGCCAGACTCAAACCCTGGCACTCCAACAGGCAATACGACCATCCTAAACCCTGGCTTAACTGCTTTGCCAAAACACCTTTTCCATGTAAGATTACATTCTGATGAACTGAAGATTAGAACTTGAACATATGAATTTGGAGGTAAGGAAAGCCACACAATTCAACCTTTAACAATGTGAATATGAGAAAATACATTAGTGTTTTAGTTCTTTCAGCCCAGAATCTAAGAAAACATAGTTTCTTTTTCCATTTCTTGGGATGTGGGTGGAGGAAGAGGAACATGATATTGATGATGATGATTATTTGTTCATGGAGTACAAGATGACCTTTAAAATGTCAGTATATACAGTTGTAAGGATAATTAACTGTCAGATACCTACTGCCCAACTTCAAAAATTATCAGGGTTGTCTTTAAAACATACTTGTAAACATAACCACCATGCCATCATTACACCTAGAAAAGTTGATGATTTCCCCAGTTGTTTTTCAGTTTTGAATCTCTTTTTTTCCCTTTTGCTTCAGTAAGAATCCAGTCAAGATCTATGCATGGTTTGGTACTGTATCTCTTAGGTCTCTTGATTTTTAGAAAATCCCCTTTGACATCTTCCCCTGGGTATTTACTGAAGAAACTGGACCATTTGTCCTGCAGACTTTCTCCCATTTTGATTTTGCTGGATTTATTTCCATGATGTTATTGACCATGTTCATCTGTTGTCTTTGTTTTCAAAACCAGTAATTAGATTTAGGTGCTTCATCTAATTCAGATTAAACTCTTGAGACTGTATGCCTCAGTCAGGAAGTGTAAGCTGTAGTTGTATTTCTTTCAGTGATGTTGGTGGTCATTGAAGCGTACATCAGTAATTCTCAGCCGGGGTAATCTGGTGACTCCAGAGACATTTTTATTGCCACAACATAGGAGAAAGACCACTACATGTATCTAGGGCTAGGGACCAGCACAGGACAATGCCAGTAACAGAATAATCAGACCCAAAATGTAAATAGTGCTGAGGTTGAGAAACTTTAGCCTAATCTCATGGTTTCATTAAGGATTTGAAAAATAGCCTTAATTCTGTTATTCATTCTTTATTAGCTGAAATTCTTGCATCAGTTGTTTGGTTACCCAAAGTGTAGGAAAGGCAAGATAAATATTTTCACATTTTCAAAATGAAAAAATGAGTTCCCTAGCATCTTCCAGAATTAACCAGTGAATTTTCTGACTTCTTTTCTTAGTATCATTATGAACTTACACATTTTAGCATATTTGAGTGTTCAATACATTGCAGTTATTTTATTGATGCTCATTTTTCTCATTTTTGGACATTAGGTTCATCTTTAGTTTGATTTTGGATTCTTTTTGTCATGACCACATCACATCAAATGACCACATCTGATGAGAGGAAAAGGAAGAAACTAATAATATTCTTTATTTATCTTGTATAATTCCTACTCCATACTGAGAATCACTCATTTCTCCAAGGAAATATTTCTAATGGGAATCAGAATTTGGAGATCACAATCGAGGCACTGACAGTACTCATTGTTACTGGGTTGATCATATTAATATGTCTTAAAACTATTCAGAAGTATATTTTATAAATAAGGTCAATGTTATTTTAGTATTAAGTCAGATTTTCTAAATTAGTATATTTTCCCTATATTTAACCTAAGAGTCTAACCAAATGGATTGGGAAAGAGAGAAGGTATTAAAGAAATCTGGTAGTTAGGGGCCTGCGCTGTGGCACAGCTGGTTAACGCCCTGGCCTGAAGTGCTGGCATCCCATATGGGCGCCGGTTTGAGTTCTGGCTGCTCCACTTCCAATCCAGCTCTCTGCTATGGCCTGGGAAAGCAGAAGATGGCCTAAGTCCTTGGGCCCCTGCACACGTGTGGGAGACCCGGAAGAAGCTCCCGGCTTCTGGCTTCAGATTGGCGTGGCTCTGGCTGTTGAGGCCAATTGGGGAGTGAACCATCGGATGGGAGACCTCTCTCTCTTTCTCTCTCTCTCTCTCTCTGCGTAACTCTGACTTTCAAATAAATAAATAAATCTTTAAAAAAAATTAGAAATCTGGTAGTTAGAACTTAGGTAATACTACTCTTTCACGAGAAAATATCCTCATGCAGGGTAGACTATTTTTATTCCTTGGGAAATCTAAAGGAGTGAAACAAGCCATAGGAAGAAACTTTAACTAGAGCATCTTGCCAATGTGATTTGCGTTTTAACTCCTTAGTTTTTCCGGTTCATTACAAACCTGCAGTGGCCAACTGAGCAAATTATTTCTAGGGATCTGGCTAGTGAACTAGGCACACTGAAGCTTTGTGAGGGGAAAACTGATTACATTTTTAATAGGAATGATATCTGTATGCTAAAATATATTTTAATGCATGTTTAAAATTTATAATTTGACTGTTCATAGATTTTGCCTTTTTTCCATGTGGACTATGTCTACTACAATTACTCTGATATTTTATTAGTCAGCTCCTGCAAAACAAGCTCTACCCAAAGCTTGCAACACATTTGATTTATGTGTATGATGTAGACTATTCATCGTTTTCTAATCATTTTGTTTTTATAAAGCAATCTGAAGAGGATGTGAGTCAGTTTGATTCAAAGTTTACACGTCAGACACCTGTTGACAGCCCAGATGACTCAACTCTCAGTGAAAGTGCCAACCAGGTCTTCTTGGTAAGTGAAACAATTTCCATGTGGCCATGGGAAATTGGATGGGCTCTTCAGTAAGAAAATTGATTTGGCTGCTTTTGCAGTTCATGTGGTAACCTAGATAACTTTGTTGTTGTTCTTAAATTATTCCTTTATAACTTACTGGTACCTAGAAAATTGATCATAATCCAACATTCCAATTTAGCAATTGCAGTGGGAACATATGATTCTTTGGAGTCTATGATTCCTTTTTTGGTTAAGCCAGTGAGTTAAAATGATGTGAGGCTTAGCATCTCAATCAAAAACTACAGCCACAATACTGAGAGGAAAAGAGCTCACAGTTTTCTTCTTCAGAGATCTGGAGTACTTTTTTTTCTGTTTTAAAAAGGCAGAGTGACAGGGAGAAACAGTGCATGCGTGAGAAAGATCTTTCATCTTCTGGTTCACTCCCCAAATGGTCATGATGGACAGGCCTGGGCCAGGCTGAAGCCAGGAGCCTGAAACTCCATCTAAGTCACTCACATAGATGGCAGGAACCCAAGCACTTGGGGCATCCTCTGGCTGCTTTCCCAGGTGCATTATCAAGGAGCTGGATCAACAGCAGAGCAGCCAGGACTTGAATAGGCACTGCTGTATGGGATGCAAGTTGTGGCTTAACTTGTTGCACTATAACACTGGCCCCTTGGGCATTCTTAACATAAGTCTGTAGGGAATTTCTAATGTTAACTGTGACTACTCAACATCAAAATACATTGATTCAAATGTGACAGTAAATAAGTTTGCATTGTACAAGTATTTGTGTGAGATTATACTTCAGAAGCAAAGCTAAGCCCTTATGTATTGGCCAACAAAGATGATGGATTTATATTAGATGGGCATCGAGTACTGCTTGCCTAAGTATCAGGTGTGCTCATGTTTTTCACTACTTCTGTGTCACATGGACATCTACTCATTATTTATCCTTTGTAACCTTTGTCATTTCCTTTTCAGCTACTTCTAGAGAATATAGAGAAAGCATTCTTTGCGGAGGCTTTTCCCCCATTTGTTTCTGAGTTCTCTGGATTTGCCACTAACTTAATTCTCACACACTTTTTCATGCTGTTGACAGCATAACCCAAGTAGTGTTGTATCTTCTAGGGTTGGGAGTAAGTTCTGAAGTTAACATGAAATGCAAAAACTGTATATAATCAAAATCACTTTTAAGTCATCTTACTTAGTACAGTATGGATTTGAATAAACATCACTGAGGAGTAATTCTATACATGTATGATTAGGTAGTAATATATAAGAAGAGGGGTCAGTATTTGGCCTAGAAGTTAAGACACTGCTTGGTACACCTGCATCCCCTATAGGAGTGCCTCACTTTGTGTCCTCCTCCATTCCTGATTCCAGCTTCTTGCTAATGCACACCCTGCTCAGTTAGCTAGGTCCCTGCCACCCATGTGGCATTTGCTATGTCTTTCAGGGTTTTACATATGTGGCTCCATCTGTACTTGAAAGTGTGAAAGAAAAGTTTTCCTTTGAACCAAAAATCCGATCACCTCGAAGATTTATTGGCAGCCCACGGACACCTGTCAGGTATTTCAGTCTCTGTTATTCTCAGTCTTTTGTTTTTGTTTTTCAAACCTAGAAGAACACTTCTTAAGAAATTTATGCCAAGTTACATAAATGAAAGGTCTGTCATACTTCTTTGGTTGATATAAACACAGCATTTATGTCTTCTCAAATTGCAAAGGACAAGTCTGTGACTAATCTATGACATGTTACATAGTTTGCCTTCCCTCCTGAAAGTAAGCTGCTACACTGGCAGATGTCCTTTTCTTCCATTTAACACATTTATGGTGTACCAAGGGCTGTGCCACATGTTACATGTTTATAACACAGGAATGGTCTGATGAAGCTTACAGTTTAGTGGGAGAGAGTCATAATTTACCATGGAAGGAAATACACAAAATACATTTATAATTACAAGTAGTGCCAAGTGGTGTGCGTGTATATAAATATATATATATAAAGTGTGGTGCTAGCAGCAGAGAAAAGCAAGAGGGCTTCTGTTCATGGTTGTCAGAGGAAGGCTTCCCTGGTGAAATAACATCTAAATGAAGAAAAAGAGCCCACCATACAAATAATAGGAGGTACAAGACCATGGCATACCAGAAGAAAAGCAAGTGCAGAAGCCCCGAGGGAAGAAAACACTTGGCTTTTTTTTGGAAATGAAAGGGAGATGCATGTTCCTGGAGTGTGGTGAGTGAGGAGAAATGGCGGAGGTTTGAGAAAGTATTATAAATGCCATGGGAAGCTATTTTAAGTCAGGGAGTAAAATTATTTTTAAGAATAATTTATTGACGATTTTAGGAGTCAAGTGTAGACATAGAGGGGAGAGATGGCTCAACTTTTGCCTTTGTACTAATCCATATGAAAATAAACATCTTATTACCTTCCTCTTTAAATGTAAGAGAAGTATTTTTTTGTTGAGCTGATCCTTGAGACAAATGAATGATAGCTCTCCCTTGTCTTAAAGCCCAGTCAAATTTTCTCCTGGGGATTTCTGGGGAAGAGGTGCTTCAGCCAGCACGGCAAATCCTCAGACACCTGTGGAATACCCAATGGAAACAAGTGGAATAGAGCAGATGGATGTGACGACAAGTGGGGAAGCATCAGCTCCACTTCCGATACGACAGCCGAACTCCGGACCATACAAAAAACAAGCTTTTCCCATGATCTCCAAACGGCCAGAGCACCTGCGTATGAATCTATGACAGAGCAAAGCTTCCAATGAATATGAGGTGAAAAAGGGGGAGGGAGGGTTGTGAGCCTCCTGCAAAGTGAACAAGAAGACTCAAAATGACAGTCTCAGAGTCAGTGTTGTTACACAGAACACTTTGGACGGAGGAGAAACAAACATAGATTTTTAAAACTCAATCAATGGTGCAAAAAAAAAAAAACTTAAGCAAAATAGTATTGCAGAACTCTTAGGCACATCAATTGATTGATTCCTAGCGACATCTTCTCAACCTTATCAAGGATTTTCATGTTGACGGCTCGAAACTGGCAGTATTAAGGGTAGGATGTTGCTTCTGAATCACTGTTGAGTTCTGATTGTGTTGAAGAAGGGTTATACTTTCATTAGGCAATAATGCCTATAATACTTGCAACTAAGGACAAATTAGCATGCAAGCTTGGTCAAACTTTTTCCAGCAACATGGAATCAAAGACAAAACAAACTTATCAATTGATGTTTTATGTGCAAACAACCTGAATCTTTTTTTTATATAAATATATATTTTTCAAATAGATTTTTGATTCAGCTCATTATGGAATACATCCCAAACTTTAAAATGCGAAATTATTGGTTGGTGTGAAGAAAGCCAGACAGTTTTTGTTTCTTCTCTTGATGAAATAATAAAATGCAAATGAATCATTGTTAACCACAGCTGTGGCTCGTTTGAGGGATTGGGGTGGACCTGGGGTTCATTTTCAGTGACCCAGCTGCAATACCTGTCTGTAATACTAGAAAAAAGATGATTCTATTTAATCATTTCTACTTGCAGTACTGCTATGTGCTCAGCTTAACTGGAAGCCTTGGAATGGGCATAAGTTTTATGTCCTACATTTCATCCTTATCCTGGGCCTGCGTTGCACTGGAAAAAAAACAAACCACCACCTGTACTTATACCAGTATTTGGTTCAAGATGCCAAATTTGTTCAGCCCATAGTTGAAGAAGGACAGAAGAGAGTCAGGATAAAATGCATACCAAGGGCTGTAAAATGAGGGAGTTAGGGATTTCCAGGGGAAAGAGGGTGTTGCCATGGTCCACACTCTAATATCTTTACAGCAAATTGGTAAGGTTTCATGTTTTACTTCTTTTTACTGTTTTTGCTGTATACCTTAATTTTTTTTCCTTGACAGTTTTAAAAAGGAAAAAGGTCTAATTTTCTTTGTTTGTATTGGGGCTATATTTTTTGATTGTAAAAATATTTAATGGCCTTTTGATGAATGTCTTCCACATTGAATAAGAAAACTTAGTGGCTTAATTTAGGAAACACATTAACAGGACACCATGTTTTGAAATTGTAACAAAATCCACATAAGTGATTTTACAGGTACAAAGAATAAAAATAAGGTAACTTTACCTTCTTAAATATTTTCTGCCTTAAAGAGAGCATTTCCATGACTTTAGCTGGTGAAAGGGTTTAATATCTGCAGAGCTTTATAAAAATGTATTTCAGTGCTGCTGGTATAGTAGATGATCATGCAATTGCAGTTGAGTATTATCACCTCTTTTTTGTTTTGTCTTTTATATGTCTTCAATCTGAGTGTGCAAAGTCAATTTGTGATATTTTGCAACCCTAGGATTTTTTTAAATAGATGCTGCTTGCTATGTTTTCCAAACCTTTTTGAGCCATAGGATCCAAGCCATAGAATTCTTTATGCATGTTGAATTCAGTCAAAAAAGAACAAGATGCTGCTTATTTCAATTGCAGTTCAAGTCACATGGGATGAAATCCTGTGACAGTAAACAAAAGCAAAAACAGAAAACATAAAAAATGATTTGAAATATATCTTTTCAATTGTGGCAATAAATGAAAGATTTGGTTCATTTTGGGACAGAAAGCCTTTTTTTTTTCTAATCACTCCCTCCAGATTCCCTCCTCCCTTATTGCAGCAGCCGACTGAGAACTTGGGAGTTGTAGCTGGTAAATTAGAAACTACAATAATGATTTAAGCACATAAATTGTATTTAGTCTATCTTTGTTCTTTGAAAATTTATGATATTTGAAAAAACAGAACCCAAAAAGCTCTGGTGATATGTACAGGCATTATTTTAGACTGTAAATGATTGTCAAATATGTTTACTCACTGTAGTGTTGACTGCCTGACCAGATTCCAGTGAAACTTTTACACCAAAATACTCCTCGTCAGTCTTAACTTGTGAGTAACATGTACACTGTGATTGGCTGGCTTTAACCACCCCATAGTTAAACTGTTCTCATAATTAGTACTGCCAGCAATAGTGGCAAACTGCAACTTTTTTTTTTTTTTTTTTTGCAGAAAAACCATTAATTGCACACCATCTGCACAAGTACATATTTTTTCTAACTTCACATTTATTAAGTAAAATTACTTTCCCATGCTGTGGCCGTGTTTATTGAGAAATTGTGTTTCATAAGTGGATATCCCTACTATGACTGTGAAAACATGTCAGGTGTCACATTAGTGTCACAGACAGAAAGCACACACCTATGCAATATGGCTTACCTTATATTTATTTGTAAAAAATCCAAACATAGTTTAAAATATATGATGTCAATATTACTAGTCTTGTGTTTCTTAGAGGGTCTTTATGATTAAACCAGGTAAGTGTATAACAGAGATTAAGTGCTTTTTCTTTTAGTCACTTACTTTCTTTAGAATCAGCTATTACAGGATATTTTTTTATTTTATACATGCTGTTTTTTAATCAAAATATAATCACTGAATTGAAGTTTACTAATTTTGATTTTATAAGGTTTGTAGCATTACAGAATAACTAAACTGGGATTTATAAAACCAGCTGTGATTAACAATGTAAAGTATTAATTATTGAACTTGAACCAGATTTTTAGGAAAATTGTTATTTCTTTTTCCCCTTCATGGTCTTAAGTAATTTGAAGTCTTCAGAAGGATTTTCCCATACTATTTTTTGAGACAGAAGATAATTTGACAAGGGTGGGGAGGATGCATGCATGTTACTCCATAAATTCAACATTGTTTACTATGGATAGTAAGTGATTATAAACAAGATGCATCTTAGATAGTAGTAATGTACTGAGCTCTGGATTTTACACTTGAAACCAAACTGTTTTGAATATTACTAGTCATATGGTTCCTAGCTTACAAGGGCTAGATCTAAGATTATTCACTTAAGAAATGTTGAATTTATGAAGATTAGATTTTGAGGATTTGAGAATGGTTAATTTCTCAAGAATACCACTGTCCAGACATCTGTGTTTTTTCATAGGAGTAGACACCAGCAAGTTGGACAAAAGTATTGTAAAAGTATTGTCATACATGACCTGTGGTCTGTTGCTGATTAATACAGTACTTTCCTTGTGTGGTTCTTAACACTACAGCACAAGTATTATCTTAGTGGATTACGTAGTGCAACATCTGAAAGATGGGTTCATCTGTGTGTGTGTTTGCTCTTTAAACTATTAGGTTTCTCCCCTTGCAAGTTGGCTTTGCATCTATCAAAGTAAATAAATTTCTTCAGCTGCCTTATTAGGAGTGCTTTGAGGGTTACACCGTTTTTGCTTTTCATCTTGTATTTAGTTTACTGTATTAAGGTATTTCATTTCAGATTGAATGAATGTAAATAGAAATTAAATGCAAATTTGAATGAACATAAAATAGAAGTGATTTTTTATTACCCTAAACTAGGAAGCGGTAACTTAGTATACGTATCAGATGTACAAATGATTTAAATAATTTTTTCTCATTAACACTCCAGATGTGTCCAAATTCTCATACTCTTATTTAATAAACTATTTATGTATGTGATGAGTGACAGTTGTAAAACTGTTTCTGCTGAGAAACTGAAGCTATTTAGGTATATAACAAGTTTTAGTACTGATTTTATATTAGATCTTAAGCATCTTTGATTTTCAATCTGTTAAATAGAATTGAATTGTTTGCTTTAAAAAAGGTTCATATTACAAGTTAGTGAAAGCTAGCTTCACATAAAAACATTGGGAAGACTTTCTTCTGCTTACAATCAACAGTCTGTCTTGCCACACTTGTCAGCTGCATTAAATAATTTGATATATATACACAAAAATAATGTAATGCACAAATCTGTTTTAACTAATGTTTCTTATCTTGTATAAGATGGGTGTTTCATATAAAATATTTATCTATAAACTAATTTTATCACACTTGCCAAGGTGTTTTCTCCCAAAAGTAACATTTTCCTATGACATTTTCCTCCTTATCAAATCACCATATTGTCTAAAAAATGCAGCACTGTCCACCATGAACCTCTTTTACTATTTTAATCATATTAAGAAAAAGTCTGAATAGTTACCAGGTAAGCAGGTATGGTAAAAACAGGTATTGCAGTAGGGCTAAAGTAACTTAAGTAGTAGAATGCTATTCTTGTGTTCTGAACAGCATGTCTTCTAGGCCCTTTTTCACAGCCAAATTTTAATTCCAATTGCTTTTGTCACCTCTCCCGTGCTTATATAATCCCAAACAGTATGGCTACTAGCTTCACCACAAAACCAGAAAACTGATTTCAGGCCAACTTAGGTTGTTAAAATATTTTCAGGGATTTTCAAAGTAGATAAAAGGGCTAAATGTACTGTAACTTAAGGAACAGAAACAATCTGAGTGTTGGGGAAAGGGTTATAGGCTTCCTAACGTCCTTTTGTCATTTTGGCCAACAAGCATGAAAGTGACTTTATCCACAGCTTGTGGTCAAAACCCTTTGTCTTTCATGTGCTGCTTTGGACTTTGTCTTATCAATATTGCAAATTTGTTTTCTGCCTCTTCCTCATAACTTATTCCCACTGTCTTCCTTGTATACAAACTCGATAGATGGTACACAAATGGGCAGAAATCTTGTACCCCAAAGTTAGATAAAAACAGTGGGATCCTTCAGACTTCTGTTATAGACTTCAGATTCTTCCATATCAAGGCAAGAAAATGCCTCATCCTCTTTTCCACCACCCTGCACTGATAATCCTAAGGCAGGCAAACCACACAATCCAAAACTATGGCCATACCTGAGTGCAAGCTTCAGTCTTCCAATTAATGGTGATTCAGTGATTCAAGAAAATTGGTCTGTAGTTATTTTCTCTGTTGTATTTTTTCAGGTTTAGGAATTAAGGTTATGCTGGCTTCATAGAAGGAGTTTGGGAGGATCCCCTCCCTTTCAGTTGTTTTGAATAGCTTGAGAAGAATTGAAGTTAGTTCTTATTTGAATGTCTGGTAAAATTCAGCAGTGAAGCCATCTGGTCCTGGGCTTTGCTTTGTTGGGAGGGTCTTTATTACGGATTCCATTTCCATCTTGGTTATAGTCTGTTTAGGTTTTCTATATCTTCCTGGCTCAGTTGGGCTCATACTGGTTTTATGTCCAGCAATCTATTCATTTCTTCTAGGTTTCCCAATTTGTTGGTATACAGCTCTTTGAATATTTCTGATGATTCTTTTTATTTCTGTGGTGTCTGTTCTCTTTTCACCTCTGATTTTATTAATTTGGGTTTTCTCCCTACTTTTTTTGGTTAACTGGGCCAATGGCCTGTCAATTTTTTTCCTGAAAAATCAGCTCTTTGTTTTGATGATATTTTGTATTCTATTGGTTTCAATTTTGTTTATTTCTTCTCTAATTTTAATTATTTCTTTTCTCCTACTAGTTTTGGGTTTGGTTTCCTATTGGTTTTTCTGTGGCCTAGTATGTGGTCTATCCTAGAGAATTTCCACACACTGGTGAGAAGACTGCATTCTGCAACTATAGGATGAAAAGTTCTGTAGGTATCTGTTAGATCTGTTTGGTCTGTAGTGTCAATTAACTTGTTTCCTTGATGATTTTCTGTCTGGTTGATCCGTCTGTTGCTGAAAGTGGGGTATTAAAGTCCCCCATTATTATTATATTGGAGTCTATGTCTCCCTTTAGATCCATTAACATTTCTTTTAAATAGCCAGGTGCCCGGTAATTAGGTGCATATACGTTTATTATAGCCACATCTTCCTGTTGAACTGATCTCTTAATCATTACATAGTATCCTTCTTTGTCTCTCTCTCTCTCTCTCTTTTTCAGTATATGTGCTGCCGATGTGAGCACCTTGTCTCTTTTAACAGTTTTTGTGTTAAAGTCTATTTTGTCTGATAATAGGATGGCTATACCAGCTCTTTTTTGGTTTCTGTTAGCATGGAATCTTTTCCCATCTTTTCACTTTCAGTCTATGTGTACATTTGTTGGTGAGGTCTGTCTCTTGTAGTTCAAAATATTTTGAAGAGTCCTGAATAAATTTTCATAATATGTATTTCCATGTACATTATTTTGAAGTCTTTCAAAAATTTCAGCAACAAATAATCTAATTTTAAAATTATATTTTCTATGAACTTTTGAAGATACCCATGTATACAGACAGAGATATTTGTA